CTGTAATAAGGCTGTTCATGGTGAGGTCCCATGCACAGCCGGCAGGGGTCCAGAAACACCCCAGGAGTACCCAGAGGACGGCGTATGGTGCCACCGCTATGGAGTATTAGCAGGAAAGGTTCTGCAGTAAAACGCTTCCTTGCAGTGGAATTTCAAATTTAAAAACCTGAAAAAAAAAAAAAGCTCTTTTCTTTTTCTAAATAAAAAAATCTTATAAAATATTAAAAGTTGAGTGATCTGATTTAAAGTGGGTTCAAGGGAAGAGAACTGGCCTGTCATTCTATGACCTCCCTCTCCAACTCCCATCATCTAATGCTGTGTCACAAATTACCCCAAAACTTAAGTTCATGTTTTGCCCATTTCTGGATCTCCTATCAGGGATGGAATCATGGTGTGATGGTCAGAAAAGGCCTCCCGCTGTTCGGGTACACCTTGGAGATACTGCAGGTCTGGTTCCAAGCCACGGAGATACGGTGACTCTCACAATACAGCGAATCAATAAATTTTTGGTTTCTCGGTGCATGTAAGTTATGTTCACACTATACTGTAAGTATGCAATAGCATTATGTCAGTAAGAAAACAAAGTACACACCTAAATTAAAAAACATTTTATTGATAAAACAGCTATCATCTGAGCTTTCAGCGAGTCATAATCTTTTTGCTGGCGGAGGGTCTTGCCTCCATGTTGGCTGCTGACTGATCAGGATGGTGGTTGCTGAAGGTTGGGGTGGCTGTGGGGATTTCTTAAGATACTGAAGTTTGTTTTATCAGTTGACTCTTGCTTTCACAAATGATTTTTCTGTAGCATGAGTTGTTGTCAGGTAGAATTTTTTTTAATTTTTATTTATTTTTTAAAGATTTTATTTATTTGAAAGAGAGAGAGAGAACGAGCAGTGGAGAGGGGCAGAGGGAGAGAGAGAGAAAGAAGCAGACTCCCTGAACAGGGAGCCCGACGTGGGGCTCGATCCCAGGACCCTGGGATCATGACCTGAGCCGAAGGCTGACACTTAACCAACTGAGCCACCCAGGCGCTCCAGCATTTTTTTTTTTTTTAAGAGAGCACGCACACATGGGGGTGGGAAGGAGCAGAGGGAGAGGGAGAGAGAGAAAATCCTAAGCAGCCTCCATGCCCAGCACAGAGCCCACTAGGGGGCTCAATCTCATAACCCTGAGACCACGACCTGAGCTAAAACCAAGAGTCGGGTGCTTAACCAACTGAACCACCCAGGAAACCCTACCTGGTAGCTCTTTACCACCAGGAGAACTTCCAAAGTTAGGAGTCAATTCTCTCAAACACTGCCACTGTGTTATTACCTAAGTTTATGTGTTATTCCAAATGCTTTGTTGTCATTTCAACAGTCTTCACAGCATCTTCACACGGAGTAGATTCTGTATCAAGAAATCACTTTTTTGGGGCGCCTGGGTGGCTCAGATGGTTAAGCGTCTGCCTTCGGCTCAGGTCATGATCTCCAGGTCCTGGGATCGAGCCCCGCGTCCGGCTCCAGCTCAGCAGAGAACCTGCTTCTCCCTCTGCCTCTCCCTCTGCTTGCGCTCTGTCTCTCTCGCTCTCTCAATGAATAAATAAAATCTTTAAAAAAAAAAAAAAGAACCACTTTTTTGGTTTTATGTTATGGAGACAACTTCTTCCCTTAAATCTCATGAACCAACCCCTTCTAGCTTCAAACTTCTCTTCTGCAGCTGCCTCCCCTCTCTCAGCCTTAACAGAATTGAGGAGAGTGAGGGCCTTGCTCTGGTTAGGAATGCTGTGGCTGGTTTCATTATCTTTCTCCATATCAGCAAAAAGGCTGCTCTGCTTTCTTATCATCTGTGTGTTCACTGGAGTAGCACTTCAAATGTCCTTCAAGAACTCTTCCTTTGCATTCACGACTTGGTTAACTGGTCCAAGAAGCCTCACTTTTGGCCTGGCTTGGCTTTCAACATGCCTTCCTCACCAAGCTTCATCAGGTCTAGTTTTTGACTTTAAGTGAGAAACACGTGACTCTTCCTTTCACTTGAACATGTAGAGGTGACCGTAGTGTTACTAACTGGCTTCATTTCAGTATTTTTGTGTCCCATGGAAGAGGAGGGAGATGGGGGAATGGCCAGTTGGTGGAGCAGTTAGAAGACACACAATATTTATGTGTGGGCGTAGTTCATGGTGCCCCTAAACCATCACAATAGTAACGTCAGAGATCACAGATGACAGATCACTAACAAATACGATAATGAAAAAGTTTGAAATATTGCAAGAATTGCCAAAATGTGACACAGACACAAAGTGAGCAAATGCTGCTGGAAAAAGGGCATAAATAGTATGCAGGGTTGCCACAAACCTTCAATTTGTCTAAAAAAAACCCACAAAAACAAAAAAACACACAGGAACTGCAAAGCACAATAAAATATTTTCCCTCCTTAGAGTCTGGTCTCCTAGCTCCTAAGGTAGAACCTCCATGGATACATTCCTGCTCCCAGACATTCTGCTAACATTCAAGCTGCCCCCTTCCCTGCCCTTTTAAAGTTGTTTGAAGAACTACTGAGAAGATACATATGAACTTTCGTAAACAATATGATACAACAGATGCAGAAGTCCTCCAGGTGGGTTAAGAAACCTTTAGGGGTGCCTGGGTGGCTCAGTCTGTTAAGCCTCTGAGAGTCCCATGTTGGGATCTGCACTCAGCAGGGAGTCTGCTTCTCCCTCTCCCTCTGCCCCTCCTCCAGCTCCTGCTCTCTCTCAAATAAATAAATCTTTTAAAAAAAGAAACCTTTAGTTCCTAGATGCTCCTCCCTGACCCCACCTCCATTCTTACCCCTTCCTAGGCAACCACCGGCTTACACTCCATATTCTTCATTTTGAATTTTCATTCTCTTGCTTTTCCTTATGGTTCTATGCCAATTTTATCTCTAAACATGTATACATATAGCTTCATTTGGCCTGTTTGGGTATGCAATGGAGTCACACTGTACATATTCCTTCATGACTTTTTCACTGACTTTTTCACTCATTTTGTTGCTGTAGTCTTATTACATGGAGACACCACAATTCCTGTGTCCATTGTTGTCTGACGGCTCTTGGGGCTGTTCCCAGGTTTTGGCTTTTGCTGTTCCTAACAGCACCATGAATATTCTTGTACATGCCTTCTGGTGCATAGATGTACATTTGTGCTGGGTATGTATCTGAGTGTGGAGCAGCTTGGTAGCAGGACATGCACGTTTAACTTGATACTGGGTAATGTCAAACTTAAGTTTTCCAAAGTGACTGTACCAATTAATTTACACTCCTGTCAGCAATAAATAAATGTTCCATTTGCACCACATTCTTGCCAACATTTGGCTGTCAGACTTGAAATCTGCTCCGTAGCTGAAATGCAATGGTATCTCAAAGCAGTTTAATAATGTGTCTTTTTCCTCATTGCTGAGGTGGACTGTTTTTATGTTCCTGCCCTTTCTACTCTCATTAACATTTGCATCAAAGGTTCCCCAGGTAAAAGGAAGAGATTAACAGGCTCCCTAAAGTGGCCATCTCTGACAGGCCCTGATCCCGGGCTAAGGCTCCACCAGCCAAGCTAATTACAGGAATGTTTTAGGTGCCTCTGCAGCACACCTGCTCTTGTGCACTCACAGGGCCTTGTCCTAGAAGCTGGGGGGCAGAGGTGAAGAACCCTGATCATCAAGAGGTAGAGACAGACCAGAAGTCACATATACCGTCTCCATGCGGAGTAAACCGAAGTGCTCTAATAAAACACTGAGTACCACGGAGCGTATGAGACAACCCTTGGTGGAGGCAATCCAGAGCAGGGAGGTCAGGAGAAGAGTGTATCTGGAGCACAGAGCAGGTGCGCGCATGCGAGGGCATCAAAGCAGAGGTCTGCAGGTGACAAGCCTGGTGTCTGGCAGGAGACTACGGGCCTATTTAGAGGCCTCTGGAAAATGCCAAGGGCTTGAGGCGAGGTAAGTTTGAACAATAACATCCTGGCTACAGCCTGGCAAGAAACTGGCCGTGTAAAAACCAGTCAGGAAAATTGCTAAAATGCAGACAAAGTATTGATTAGTTGTGCCGACAACACTGCACCGTGGCATGTGAAAAGCTGGGAGTCCCCGGGATGGCGCCAGCAGCTCTGAAAGCTCCTATTCGTCAGAGGGGGATGGGAGGCAGAATGGAAAGGTGGCGAAGAGGCGGGGCCCGGGGAAGTCACGGGCCTAGCTCTCACTTCAAATACTTGCTCCATCACTGTCTAGCTGTGCCATCCTGAGCAGGGATTCCCACCTCAGCCTGTTTCTCCACCTACAACTGGGTGGGGACAAGAGCAATTCCCGAGAGAGGGGTCTGAGGAGGATGGAGGATGGAGGATGGAGGATGGAGGATGGAGGATGGAGGATGGAGGATGGAGGATGGAGGCGGCCAGTGCCTGGCACGGGCTGTGGCGAACACGCATTTGGCTAACACTGTTAGCACTCTACAATCACTCAGGATGGAACAGAAATATTTTGGAAAGGTTTTTGGCTAAGGATTAACACGAAATAGGAGTTTCTGCTCAACAACCTATGCACAAGAAAATGAAGTGCACGTGGGTGACTAAAGGGTGCAGGACAGGCAGCATTCACGTAAGCACTGACTGAAGGACGGCTGCGCCGTGCCTGACTCAGCCAAAGGCTGGCAACGGCAATAACCAGTCGATCCATCCCCAATCCCCAGAGGGGAAGGAGGGAGCACACACCCACACACCGCTCTGTGGGCAGAGGCACACAGCCAAGGGCACATGGAGTGCTGAGAGGGAGCTTGGCGGGGGTTACTGCCCTAAAGATCAAGACCAAGCGGTCAAATCAAGATAAGCTGAAAAATGGAATCCAAAAAGCCAACAACACGAAAACGTAAAGCTCAGCAACCTCCATGAAGCTTCTTCAGCAGCGAGTGCTCATCATCGTCAACACGAAACCCGAACTCTATTCAGCACTCGTGCAAAGAATCCCAAGACCACCACTCAGTAAGAAGGCACACAGAGTGGATATTAATACCTTTTAATGTTTCACATTGTTTTTTTTCCAGAAGATATATAACAAAATACGTAGAATTTAATACGAATCTCAGTACAGTGGGCAATTATAGAATCTAAATAGGACAAGTCGATAAAGTATAATCCTTCTTGTAGGGGCCAAACATTCCATTCCACTAAGAAGAGAAAATCACAACATGATTAGGCACAAACATATCATACTGCCTATTGTTCTAACTTCTGAGACTGGCAGGCCTGGAGGAAAAAACTATTAAATAAATAAAACTGAACACAGTCAACTGCCTCAGTTTCCCCCTGTTCTCCTTTCCCGGGGTCTTCACAGAACCACGTGGGTGAGGGCGTGAGGCACAGCCGTGTGGGGCAGGTTTAGGCACTGTGCTGACTAAGTGCCAGGCAGACGCAGAAGCTCCCTGAGGTGACCAAGAAATGTACTGCGGATCAGCTGATCGGCGTTGCCGCTGAGAATCTGGGCTGAGGGGAGGGGTGACCTGCTGGCGGGAGGCCTGATGGCCACAGCACAAGTTTTCAAATCCAACTTCAAGAGAGACAAGGTGGCCCACACGTAATCCTGGAGTAGACAGCACATTCACGCAGAAATCTAGAACTGCAGAGCTAATCCCTCTCTGTCACACTACAAGTTGGAATGCTAACGGAGCATAAACACTTCGGCCACAATTCCGCCAGGACCAGTCATTCATTCAACAGAAAAAGTCAAAACCATTTGGTTTTTAAATGAAAATCCTTCACATCCACCTGTGGTCAAAAATAATAACTTATGACATTAATACCTTCCTTAAAAAAGCAATTACCACAAAAGAGTTAAATCATAAATGTGGGAAGACCTATTTTCCTATGAATGTAGCTCGTAGGAAGGGACAGATACAAAGCACATGTGAAAAGTAAGGCCGTGATAGTCTATGTTTTTAGCTTAAAGCTAAAGTTACCCCAAAAAAAGGTATTACACAAGTTAAATGTTTCTTACTGCAAAAGAGCTCACTTAGACCAACACAATAAACTATATAAAGGAAAACATTTATTGTTTTTCCCCATTTAAGGTGCCCCTCTGCCTCCCTGATGAGTCCTGGTGGGAATCCTCCTCTAGTGAGAGTTCCATGCACCAGAGGATTACTTCCAACAGGCTGGCCAAGCAGCCACCTCCTTTCCTAAACACAATTACAACTGATAATAGTCGGTGATGTAGCACATGGAGCAAATGTGGCCAGATTCAACCATAACTGTACTTGTTCTGGACACAGAACTCATCAGGGGAGACACTGCTCAACGGTCACAGAGAACAGGACACGGGAATCCTGGGACGGTTCTCTTGTGTGCGACAAGCCTATGCAGCCTCCAAGGGACCAAGTCATGCCTCCCATGCACAAGGCGCCTTACTTGCATACTCTAGCCAAGACTTATTTTTGGACAAAAATCGACTACTAACATGTCTCTAGTCTCATTTACACCTTGGAGGAAAAAAGAAAAAAAGAATCAACATTAGAGAGCTTAACAGTGAGAATCAGCAAACGCAGAAAGGGAGGGTCATGCTCAAACTGCTCGACAGCTGTTCCATCACTGCCCACCACATGGGCTTGAGGCCAGTGACTTCATGGACGCACCGCGCCGATGCACTGCCGAATGTCAGTTCCAGTCCATCACGGTGACCCCAGTGAGACGCTGCCTGCCTTCCATTCACCACCTCCTACCCAGGAGATCCAAGGGGGCCTTGGGTGCTGTGAGCACAGGACATGCATGTGCCAAAGCCCAAGACCCTTCCTAAAACTTCTCCTTGGATTTGGGCAAGGAAACAGGGCAGTGGTTTGGAGTGCTGGCGGCAGCATCCACACTGGGGCTTAACCTCAGCAGCCGGCCTGGAGGATGCTTCCCCCAGAGCGCTTGGTCACTGACAGAGTCGTGAATACCTGCAGGGAGGAGAGAGCAGGAGATTTTCAGACACCTGAGCAGATGAATTAACAGCGAGCAGTGCAGATAACACCATACCTACCTATCAAGAGTGACTTAGCAAAGTGATATATGTACTCCTCTGCACCTGCTTCCTTGGCCCCATCCTGCATTTCTGTACCTCACTGACCTAAAAGGGTACAACTCTGCACTGAACAGTATTCCATTAACTACAGTATACTATATACACTGTATACTACAGAACCCAATTTCCAACAGCGAATATATATTACAAATTACATATCCAGGCTCCTATATTACTAATATGCTATTTGCAATATGCTCTGGGTCACTCCAGCAGTCTCCTTGCACCCACAGCTAGAGGTACAATTGCTGGGTTGGAGGATTATGTGTCACTTCTATGTGACTGGATTCCCAAGGTCCCGGACCAACAGATACTCTCATCCGCAGTGACTGATGAGTCTGCCTCCTGTCACATCCCTGCAAACATTTGGTGCTTGTGGACTTAGAGCCTTAACATCTTCAGGTGGCTGTTTTAACTGTCTACTACTCAAGAGCATCTATTCACAAAAACAATGGCTTATTCAAAAGAGTCCCTGGGGGAAGCAAGACTCATCGAGGACCCACATCTGGGTCCACACCTGGACACACGGGCAAACTTTTTGGTCACCTACCCCCTTGATTCCTGAGAAATAACTAGTTTCCTGGCTTCCAATAAAGAGGAAAGATCAAAGAAATCAAGGCCACTTTGACTTATGCAGGTCAAAGCAACAGGAATCAGCATCAAAACTACTTATGAATAAAAGGAGAAAAATTTTTGTGTAAAAGAGGAACATTACTGAGAAAAGCCCTGGGTCCATTTCAGTCTTAAAGTAGTGACAAAAAGCCTTTTTATTGCTTACATACCAGTATATATATATATATATGTATATATATATATATCAGCCACACCTTAAAAAATTCAAACCCAAGTAATAATGGGCAGTATTTTAAAACATTAATAATATGAAGCCAGAAGAAAATATGAATGATTCACATTTTTAAAAAATAGGTTAGCCAAGTGGTGCCTGGGTGGCTCAGTCGTTAAGCGTCTGCCTTCGGCTCAGGTCATGATCCCAGGGTCCTGGGATCAAGCCCCGCATTGGGCTCCCTGCCCGGCGGGAAGCCTGCTTCTCCCTCTCCCACTCCCCCTGCTTGTGTTCCCTCTCTCGCTGTGTCTCTCTGTCAAATAAACAAAATCTTAAAAAAAAAAAAATAGGTTAGCAAAGATATATAAAAATCCTTGAAAGTTAGTCCTTTTTTACTAAAACAGAAAAAAAATTTACACTGAATTTTGTAACATTTTCATTAGCACTCCTAAATTCATGCTGATGACACTGTAAGCTATGACAACTCTTTTGAAAAGCAGTAAAATTCCTTTGTTTAAAAAAATGTGCAACTGTGGACAAGGACAGAAAGACTATACATGATAATGAAAATAGCTGTGTTAGAATGATATCATGGGCAATTTAAAGTAACACCAAACACGCTGGCTTCAATTTTTATAAAGGAAAAAACATAAAGAGCCAGCGAATGCATTACAGTAAATTTCAGGCTTCTGAATTTATAAGCTTAAGTTTTATTTTTCAGGAACTAATTTAGAAATAGAACTGGTAGGAGATGTGGATAGAAAAGGAACCCTGGGACGCCCGGGTGGCTCAGTCAGTTAAGTGTCTGACTCTAGATTTCGGCTCAGGTCATGATCTCAGGGTGATGAGATGGAGCCCCAAGTCAGGCTCCACGCCAGTGTGGAGGCTGCTTAAAATTCTCTCTCTCCTTCTCTCTCTGCCCCACCCTGCCCTGCTCACACAAACCCGCTCTCTCTTAAAAAAAAAAAAAAGAAAGAAAGAAAGAAAGAAAAGAAAACCCATCAAAACAAAAGATTTTTTTTTAAAAGAGCTCTTATCTATTTTCTTGTACTGATAACATGCTTACGGGGAAGATATGCAGAAGCCAAAGTGCCACTGCTGATTAGTCTACATGAAAAAACCAACAAGGTCAATTTTTGCAAGATTCTTATTTGCACGTAGCTGCTTTAGAATTTTCATAAAAACACATATTTTTTTAAAATGAGCCTGGAGGCCGCCCCTTTCTGCTTCTCTAGGCCAGCACAAAGATCACTTACAGAGGTCAAGGGCTGCTGTAGGCACTTACCTCACATTCAGATCTGCCACTGCCTCCCCAGGCTCACAAGCCCCCCTACTCCAGGCTGCAATTAGGTTGATAGTTAAAACTTTTGATTTTCAGCACTAAGATTGACTTAAAAACATTTCACGGGAGTCTTTCCTAATGCTCTCTCCTCTTGAGCTATTATTTTTCCCCTACAAATAAACTTGATTAATTGAAATTACTGCTCCAAATGATGTGCAATCAGTTTCCTATTCAATTATCGCTGCTCAGAAATCCGGAATAAATTATCACCACACTGTCTTCACACTGAATAACGCTAACACATTACTGATGCTCCAGGCATTAAGACTCCCCCGTTATTCACACCAAAGAGATCTCAATCAAAACAAGAGTACTCTCTCCTTGTTTTAGAGCAATTCCTCAACTGAGGAATCTGTCATCTTTTCTCAGTAATTAGTCCTCAGAACCAGAGGTTGGTTGCTCAACTGCCCAGGTAATGTTATCAAAATGGTATGAAAAGCACTCAGTGATTCATTCCGCAAACCACCCATGGCTGGCCCGGAGCTGGGGCTAGTTCTGAACATTTTAAAACAGTGCTCAGGACCAGTTTTTAACTTTATTATTACCTCTAATCCAACCCATGGACTGACATTTGTGAAATCCAATAAAAATGTATTAGAAAATGAAATTTTAAATGGCAGGTAAAATTAAAAGCCAAGCTCAGATACGGTCAAATAGCTTATCAAATTCCTACCCTCCCTTCTTCATTTCCATCCATATCTCATATGGACTGGTCACAAACCCTCTGGGGACATTGTGAGTGGCACATCTCTAGAACCTAAAGCTGGACATGAAAACAGTGGGTCCAGTAACTAATCTAATTATTGTCCAAGTCACACCTACCTTTAACACAGAAAAAATCGTCCCTTAAAATTGCCTACAAATCAAATTTCACTTTCCCTTGTTCAAGACGCTGTAAAAAATATTTCCATAGCTGGGAGACTGGAAGACTTTGGTCTTTCAAAATCTGATTTGTGAGCAAGTACTTCATACTGTGGGAGGAAAAAAAAAAACCAACACTCCTCTCTTGCCTGAACAGAAGAAAATAACTGTAAATCATGTATCTAATAAGAGGCTAATATCTAAAATATACAAAGAATTCATACAACTCAACAGCAAAAAATCAAATCCAATTAAGAAACAGGTAGGTCTGAACAGATATTTTCGCAGACATCCAAATGGCCAACAGGTACATGAAAAAATGTTCCACATTATTAATCATCAGGGAAATGAAAATCAAAACCAAAATGAGATACCACCTCACACCTGTTAGTATGGCTACTAACAAAAAGAAAAGAATTAAGTGGTGGCGAGGATGTGGAGAAAAGGGAACCCTTGTGCACTGTTGGTGGAAACATAAGTTGGTGCAACCACTATGGAAAACAATATGGAGGTTCCTTAAAAATAGAACTATCAATATGATCCAGGAATTCCAGTATTGGGTACGTATCCTCCCTCCAAAAAAACACCAATTTGAAAAAGTATCTGCAACCCCATGTTCCCTGCAGCATTACTTATAATAGCCATGATATGGAAGCAACCTAGGTGTCCATCAATGGGTAAAGAAAATGTGGTGTGTACACACACACACACACACACACACACACACGTCTATTACTCAGCCATTAAAAAACTGAAATCTTGCCACTTGCAACAACATGACTGGGCCTTAAGAGCTTTATGCTAAATGAAATGAGTTAGAGAAACACAAATACTATAGGGTCTTTCTTATATGTGGAACTTAAAACAAACAAACAAACAAACAACATGGGGCGCCTGGGTGGCTTAGTCAGTTAAGCAATTGCCTTCAGCTCAGGACATGATCCCAGAGTCCTGGGATTGAGTCCTGCATCAGGCTCCCTGCTCAGTGGGGGGAGTCTGTTTCTCCCTCTGCCCCTCTCCCCACCACCACCGCTTGTGCTGTCTCTCGCTTACTCTCTCTCTAATAAATAAATAAAATCTTAAAAACAACAACAAAAAAACAAACTCACAGAGAAAACAGACCAGTGGTTGCAAGAGGCAGGGGTGGGGGGATGGGAGAAATGGATGAACTATTTTGTTTTCTTCTTGTTTGTTTTCAAATAATTTTTATTTTATTTTATTTTATTTTTAAGTAACCTCTACACCCAACATGTGGCTTGAACTCATGACCCTGAGATCAAGAGTCACATGCTCTTCTGACTGAGCCAGCCAGGTGCCCGGAAGAGGAGCTTTTTCAAAATAGGCATCCCTTCCCACCTCAGCCCCCAGCCCCCTGAAGAAATACTATAAAGATGACCTTGAGTGAAACCACATCTTCTAATAATGCAAAGCCCCGGAAGAACCCAGCCTAGACACTCTCTGCACAGCGCTGCTCACCGACCCTATGACTCCGGCACCATCTCTGTTTTAGTTAATGTGGAAACTAAAGCAGCCGAAAAGCTGGGTGCTGGGGCCAGGCTCACTGAGCTTTTGCTGAGATTACAATCCAGCTTTGCCTCCACACACTCGTGCTGCCACCAGGAAATCACTTCCATTTTTTAAGTCCTATGTCCAATACCGTGGAAGGAACACCCAAGTGGAGTACCGTCTGCACAGTGGTGTCTCGGGAGCCAGACTGGTCGGGTCTGAATCCTGGTTCTGCCAGTTCCAAGCTGGAGAATTATGGACGAGTTATTCAACCTCCCCGTCCTCCATTTCCCCATCTGTCAAGTGGAGCTCCGACTGCCCCTCCCCACCAAGGGGGGAATTCTCGTAAGGACCTGGCAGAGAGCAGACTGCCTGACACACAAGGAAGGCCTGATGAATGTCAGCGCCGTGGTCAGCATCACTCCCCTGGAACCTGCTTTTGCTGCTTCAAGCCACAGCTGTAAGTCATTCCCACTTCTTCCCTCTCCCACTTGCCATCAGTTGGCAAGCACTGTGAAGCCACCTCCTATTTCCCTCCCAAATGTATCAAGGTCTCTCGATGTCCACTGCCAGCACCATCTCCTCTCTTACTTCTGGATGTGCCTGCTCTGGTCCAGGTCCAATGCCACAACGCAGCCAGGGATTTCTCTCCACAGTGCATCTGATCACGTTACCCCCTGCGCTAACCTTCTCTCAGCCAAACCCCAGTGCCCCCAGGATAAAGCCCAAACACCCTGCCTTGGTTTACAAGGCCATGACCTTCCTACCTACTTCTCTAGCATAATTTTTCCACCTCTCTCTGGGCTCCTTCAAGCTACAGCAGCACTGAGGGCCTTCCAGTTCCATGAAGGAACATGATCTCTCCCAGAGCCTTGTCTTTGGTGATCCCTCCGACTGGCTAAACCACCAACACATTCTACTCATTGTAGACAAGAACTACCTCCTCACCAGTACTGCCCCGGCATCCCTACTCCAGACGCCACTTTGGACGGACCCTGATCTGGGGGCTTGTTGCACTGAACTGCCACTGGTCCTTCACTCAGCTGCCTCCTGCTCTCTCTTAATCTCATCTTAAATCCCTGCTCTAGCCCCACAAGTGCCCAGCACAGTGCTACACACACAACTGCACAACACATGTGTTCGCAGACTGACAGAGCACCTACTTTTCTCTCATTAATCAACCACCCGCTTGGGAAGAAAAAAAAATTTTTTAAGCCCTATCAAATCAGTGCAACTTTCAGCCTCCAAGCTTCAAAGTCATAAGAGAACCAACAGATGGAGATGCATAGCAGCAAATGCTTACCCAGGTCCCCAAATGTGCCAGGTCCACCAGGGAGAACAGGCCTTTGGCTGATCTCCTTGCAGGCAGGGGCCTCGGGAAGATGCCCTGGCTCTTCGGCGCATCTCTCTGCCCAGCTGACAGTCATCCTGCCAGATGCCATCCCACTCGCCACTGCTGGGCCACAAGGCAACACAACCACGCGGGTGGGGGCAGGCAGTCTTTTCACCAGCCCACCGAGAGCTAAACTCAGATTTAAAAAGTTACACACTCACACACGCAAGTTGAGAAGTCATCTTTTCATCCATGCCAGAGGAGTGCTATCGTTTGTAAGGACCTTGGACTGGCTCAGTCGGTTAAGCGACTGCCTTCGGCTCAGGTCATGATCCTGGAGTCCCGGGATCGAGTCCCGCATCAGGCTCCCTGTTCGGCAGGGAGTCTGCTTCTCCCTCTGACCCTCCCCCCTCTCATGTGCTCTTTCTCTCTCTCTCTCATTCTCTCTCAAATAAATAAATAAAATCTTTAAAAAAAAAAGTAAAAAAATAAAGTTTTAAATACACTCACTGATGTGAGTTGAGTCTCCCAGAAAGATATGCTCAAGTCCTAACACCCGATCCCTATTAACATGATATTATTGGGATAAGGTCAGCTGGATTTGAGCCCTAATCCAATGACTCATGTCCTTCCAACAAGGCGAATCCAGACACAGACACACAGGACGCAAGGCTGTGCACATGAAGACAGAAGCAGAGACTGCAGCAATGCAGGACTGAGCCAAGGACAGCCAAGGGCGGCCAGCGACCACCAAGAGTTGGAAGAGGCCAGGTAAGATTCTTCTCAAGAGCCCTGGGAGGGAGCGTGGCCCTGCTAACACCTTGATTTCAGACTGCCAGCCTCCGGAACTACTCGAGAATAAACTTCTGCTGTGTTAGGCCACCCAGTGTGTGGCACTTGGTTATGTCAGCTTGATCTTTTTAAAGCATCATATTATATTCTAATATTTATCTCACTGAACGTGTTTTTGAAAAACTGAAGTTAGTTGGTTCCATCCCTAGGCAGATAGTCATTACACCCAAGAAAAAGATATATTGTACATTCTTTAAGAACTTCCATCTGGATTCTTTTTAATTTGGGGGTCATCTTTTTAGAAGTTTAGGTTTATTTCACAAAAACAGCAGTTTTTTAGGAATAATGCCCTGGTCACTAAACATGTTAATATTTTATGCATCCATCCCAGCCAGGTGCATATTAACACAGAGGAGGACCCTATCCCTAATCATAGAAAAGGCAAAGCAGAAAGAAACTGAAACATTTTTCCAGGTCTTGAAGTTGACATTTCACACACTCAGCAGAGTTCAGCTGTACGAGGGCAAAAAGAACAGAGACCAACCGAGTAACTGGCTGTAGAATGAAATCAGGTGTGAGCACGCACACGTGTGGGTAAGCACACGCCCGCCCTGGAAACCACGGACTCTGGCAGCCAGATAACAGCTACAATTTTCAACTCCATAGCTAAGCTGGTCTAATAAGAGCTACCTCCTCCCAACCTTCACCACGGTCTCCAAAGTAGACACACTTTTGGTTTACAAGGCCTGCTTCGCAGTAAGCATGACAACATTCAACTCTTGCATGATGCCAGGCAACCATGAAGAAACACTGACACCCAGAGGCCCAGAGCAGTCAACTTCCACTTCTCATGTCATTTTTGCTTGATCTCTTAAAAGCATCACTTTCAAATCTCACCCTTTGATACCAAAACTAAAGAGGGAGACAACATCATTTAGCCTTGAGGTAGCTCTGGGATAATAGGATTGAAGCTCTTTCTGGGTATGAACGGCACTAGTCACTGACTGCCGTGAAAATAATTTAGGAGACATGACAGAAGATTTAAGGCACATCTTGGGGCGCCTGGGTGGCTCAGTCATTAAGTGTCTGCCTTCGGCTCAGGTCATGATCCCAGGGTCCTGGGATTGAGCCCCGCATCGGGCTCTCTGCTCTGCAGGAAGCCTGCTTCTCCCTCTCCCACTCCCCCTGCTTGTGTTCCCTCTCTTGCTGTGGATCTGTCAAATAAATAAATAAATAAATAAACCTTAAAAAAAAAAAAAGGAAGATTTAAGGCACACCTCTATAAATAAATCACTGCCATCATTTTTACCATCAGCATGAAACTACTATCCAGTTCATGCCAGGAACGAAGGTATTTGAAAAAGGAAAAATCATTTCTACAGACAAGGTTCCTTTTGAGGTATTTCCATCAAGAATTAAACTGTAAGGAGGTACAGAAGTAGCTCAACTACAGCAGAAAGACACTAACTTCAGAGTCCTGGACTTGCCACTTACAAGCCACGTGCTGTTGTGCACTTTTAAACAGAGCTGTTAAAGTGTAGGGGACCCACCTCTGCACAGACGGGGTGGATTCCAATGGTACTGTCCAGCTGCTTTTTGGTCAGTCCACACTTGAGGGCAGCTGCAAAGCCTTGTGTCACTTCTCCAGCATTTGGACCCAGTACGTGGAAGCCCACAACACGTTCCTAAGATGTAAAATAAAGTAATACAGTTATACTAATTCTTTCCCCCTTTATAACCTAGAACACAGACCTAGTCTATTCTAAAAGCCCTGTTCAGAAATTATCAAAGACCTATATTAACACTTGCTAAAAGTGACTTAAGCTGAAGATACTCCAACATGAGCCAGTAGAGTGTGGTGGTGACAGCAAGCAAGAAGGGAGAGACAAGAGCTCGCCTTGACCGAGGAAGAAAATCATTAAAAGCAAACATGTCTGCAATTCCGTAAGCACCAAAATGTTCTGGAAAATGTTTTCAAAGGGCAGTTCTGTCCTCATCTCCTCTATTTGGTTGCCTCAAAGCTCTAGATAAACTACCTGTGATAGCTGTAACATTTAAAAGCAGTCATTTCGGGACGCCTGACTGGCTCAGTCGGTAGAGCATGCCACTCTTGATCTTGGGGTTTTGAGTTTGAGCCCCATGCTGAGTGTAGAGATTACTTAAAAAAAGTAAAAATCTACGGGTGCCTGGGTGGTGCCATTGGTCAAAGCATCCAACTCTTGGTTTTGGCTTAGGTCATGATCTCGGCATCATGAGATCAAGCCCCACATCGAGCTCTACGCTCAGCGTGGAATCTGCTTGGGTTTCTCTCTCTCCCTCTCCCTATTCACCCCCCACCCACTCTCTCACTCTCTAAAATAAGTCTTAAAAAAAAATTGGAAAAAATAAATAAAAGCAATCATTTAAATTTAAAAATCATTTTAACTAAGGCTTTGGGGGTAGACAGCACAGTTAGTCTTAAAATTCTTCCAATCTGAAACCATTTCTGAAATCAACAGGAAAATGTTGGCAACTCTGAATAAACTCTAAATCCCGGACTCCAGCTACCAAGGGCAGAGAAATCTGATGCATTCTAATGTTCAGACTTCATGACTGAGCTATACTATCTAGTCCAACCTCCTCACCCCAGGTAAGGCACCTCAGGCTGCGGGGTATACAGCCTTATCTAAGGTTCCATCGTTGCCTGGAGAACAATCAGGAAGGTCATCCTGTTGCTGAATTACTGTAATATATTCCACCTTGAACTCTTACATTATTCATCCTGCCCATCAGGGGTTTAGCGTATGGATAAAGCACCAAACACAATGCACTTAAAATAGACTAGATATACGTTTAATAATATGGATAGATCTCAAAGAAAGTGATCTAAAAAAAGCTGCAGGCTTCTTTTTTTAGCTGAGGATACCACTCTTAAACCACAATGCATAATGTTTATGGATATGTAACAGACAGCAAATGTAAAAACATGAACAGGTGAGGCACTCACTTCAAAACAGTGTTACCCCTGGGCAAGGGGTGAGGACTATGGGATCGAGAAGGAATACAAAAGACTACACAGACATAGGGTAATGCTTAAGAGCATGGGATCTACACTGCCTGTGATTAGTTCCAACTCTGCCATTAACTAGGTAAGTGAGCTGAGCACAATTACTTAACCTCCATGTGCTTCAGTTTCCTCATCAAGAGTACACACCTCACAGGCTTGTACAAGAATTAACTAAGTTAATACATGAAGACCTCTAAGTACTGCAGTGGTACGTAGTAAGTGCTCAATAAACATAAGCTGTTATAAATTTCCTCTGTGATGGTTTCTTTCTTACTAGAGAAAAGCTTTGGTGAAGCAAACACACCAAAATATTAACATTCACTGAATCTGGACAGTGGGTACTTTCCCTATCTTCCTGTAAATGTTAAATATTTCATATGAGAAGCACAGCCTACGAAAGAATAAAAACCTAGTAGACAATAAACACTGGAAAAACCAAGGACAGGTAGACACTGTGAAGTGACTGACTCAAAATGAATAAAGCATATGCCCCAAGGATGGTCAAGTTCTAGAAGCATGCTTTTGCATAAGATTGCTCATGACAGAAGAACAATGACAAGTATTCATCTTTTCTAATACTATCTTTGTCTATGAAAATAATTGAAAACAGTATCACCCTCCTTACGGCCTCAACTATTTTAATTAAGATGGGGCTCATTTGTGGTGAAAACTATTTTTCATATTAAATTTAAAAAGTGTTATTTGAGGAGCACCTGGATGGCTCAGTCGTTAAGCGTCTGCCTTCAACTCAGGTCATGATCCTAGGGTCCTGGGATGGATCCCTGAGGGCTCCCTGTTCTGTGGGGAGTCTGCTTCTGCTGCTCCCCCTGCTCGTACTCTCTCTTGCTTTCTCTCTCACATGCTCTCTCTCTCAAATAACATCTTTAAAATGAAAGCATTATTTGAACAAATGACACAACACTGAAAAAAAAGACAAATGAACCACATGTTGATGAAACAGATTTGCTTGGTCTGAAGGAAAATGTGGAGGCTTCATTGATTGCTACATGCAACATGCAACTGAACTACCTCTTGCTAGAGGGAGACAGTGAGAACGTCAGACATTTTCTCCTTTTGTCTACAGCAGCATGACGGCTAATGTATACTCAAATACTTCTAATAATAAAAACTTATGTCTGCAAAGGAAAAAATTCCGTAAAATCATTCTTTACATCAACTGCATCCTAGCATATTCGCTTATTAAATGCATCTGGGATGATCTTTTTCGTAGAGGGTCCAGGTTTTCCTGCACTACTGTCTGAAACAGTAGCTTTTCAATAGGATACATGGTTTGATTATATTCAAATCCCAAAATAAGAAAAAGCGTGAGGTTATTTGGCTTTTAATTATGGATTCTTTAGCATGGTTTACATTTTTACTCAGGCCTTTTTTTTTTTTTCCCAAAGGTAAGATCCCAGCTAAGTTAAAAATACCAGTCCTCATCAGAGTCAATCCACAAGTATGTGTGTGTGCATACATGTCTTCTGAGTATGGGACTAGCAGCCAAAAAAACACAGAAAATCAAGCATGTCTTCAATCACTTTGTAGGTATGGAAACAAGCTCTGTGAGGTCAAGGAGTTTACCCACAGGCTTTCAGTTACTGGCATTACATGCAGTAGCCAGTAATGAAATCTTAAATCAGAACCCAGTGAAGAGCTCTTCCCATTACACATCTTTCTCATTAGCTCACTAGATTGTATAAGAATTAACTAATACATGTAGACCTCCAAGTACTGCAATGGTAATAGCAAGTGTTCAATAAACATAAGCTGTTATGAATTTCCTCTGTGATGGCTTCTCTCTTACTAGAGAAAAGCTGCTTGGGACACAAACGTGTGTTCCTCCCATTCTTTTATAGTTTCTCATTATTTGTAGAAGTCACTGACTTCATGGCTTCCCTTTTATGAACACACACAGTTCTCGCGTTGTCTCTGTGGTCTGCGCTCGGCAAGGTCGGCAGGCCTACTGGCCACGTGCGGAGCCCTGTGCCAGTGACGCTGAGTGCAGGCCAAGCGGTGTCACCATGACCCTTGCCCTCAGACCGTGTCCATGCGGCTGGGAAGACCAACACATAAAATACTAAAGGAATGCGATGTCCACCATGTGATCAAAATAGAACTACATATTAAAAACAAATGAAATTACTGGAAGAAAGGATTCAGTGAGGATTTCACTTACATTGTCTTTGATATTACAGATTACTTTTGCATAACATTTGTTGTTATCTCTTGATGGAATCGTCCACTCCAACGGCCAAAAGTAACTATGGTAAACCTGAGAAGATATACACACAATTTAAGACCCATTATCTTAAGAAGTATGTTTGACAAACACCAGCTGTGGATTAAAAACATTGGAGACTCTTTGATACTTAGACTTCATTAAACAATAAAATTCATGGAATAAGTAGACATTTGGTCAGAAGGTAAACAACCTTAAACTTGTTGTCAGGCCCCTTTGCTATAAGCTCATCCCTTAATTATATCTCAACCTCAGAACAGTAAACCCTAAGTAATAATAACAACAAAAAGCAAGCAAATGAGAGAAAGCAGCCAGGTAATTACTTGCTGTCTTACATCAAGAAAACAAAGGAAAAAAGAAATAAAATACATAACACTATCTTGCATAGGAATGACAACTTTGGGCAAGAAACAAGTAAGGTGCCACGAACAATTAGAGCAATTATCCAGTTCCTTGCTTGATGCTTCCATAGGCATTTCCTCTGCTGGCGTTAGTCGCCCACAGCAATGAAGAGAAAGGCGGGCGGGAGGGAAGATGAGAGTGGGAGGGCGCAGATGTCTTGACTGACGCTTCCTGAACTTAAGTCTGCGTGACTACAGGGATTGGTCTCCACCTAAGGCTGCTAGACTCAATTCAAAACATATATGGCTGGCTACCTTTCAAAAACAAACTGATTATGCAGCCATTATAATAAAGTCTTCTTTGATGCTGTAATACAATGTGAACTTTTTTTTTAAATTTGGGTTACAAAACTGAATAGTGTCATGTATCACAACAATTACACAGGGAAAAGATGATTAAAGAAATTACCCAAATTGCTAACAACTGCTATGTTACAGACATAAGTCTATGGATAATTGTTTCCTATTTCCATTTTCAAAATTTCAACCCAAATGCATTACTTTTATTTATTTTTAAGGATTTTATTTATTTACTGGAGAGAGAGAAAAGGAGACAGAGATAGTGAGAGAGAGCACGAGCAGGGCAGAGAGGGAGGAGGGTCCCCGCTGCCCCAAGGGTTCTTTTGAGCCCGACGCAGGACTCGATCCCAGGACCCTGAGATCATGACCTGAGCCGAAGGCAGATGCTTAAGTGACTGAGCCACCCAGGCGCCCCAAATGCATTACTTTTATAATGAAAAATGCAAATTCTAATAAAATGAAAGCCAAAGCCTGTCAAGAAATATGAGATGTATATTAAGAACCCTAAAATCTAAGAATCTTTTGACAGGAATCTATCTTCAGAAAATAACCAGAGAAATACAGTGAATTATGAAGATGTTCATTGTTCTATTTATGATAGTGAAAAACTATAAACAATCTAATAAAAGTATGGCTTAACAAATTATTTTATAGCATCCAAAAATACATAAGTCACTTTTGAAAACGCTGTTTTTAGGGTGAAATGCTCATGACCTAACATTAACTGTAAAACAGAACAGAAAATTGCGCATAACTTAATCACACTTAAAAAAATTAAGACATATGTGCCTACAATTATACATACACACCTATATATACAATATATAAACACATAAATACTTATAGACTAGAAAGAAATGTGCCAAAATATTAATAGTAGTGATCTCGTTATGAATTACAATTTCTTTTATATTTTCCTAATTTTTCAAACTTCCTATAATGAGGATATACTATTTTTATAATCAGAAAATGCTACTCATGTGATACTAATAGACCAAGATATTACATGCTACTGCTAATGTGTATTATAAGAAAAAGATTAAGAGATTTAAAATAGGCTATCATAAAATTTACTGATTTACAAATCTGGTCTTCTGGAAGGTTTTACTGGAAACTTTCTTCCTGAATGATTTAAAGCAGCAGTCCCTCTGGGTAGACTGCGTACACAGAAACAGTGCATGCCACGTGCCTGTTCCTTGACTGTGGCAGTTACAAGAGGATAACAGTACCAAAACCCCCAACTGTCACTAAGAGAGTGGTCGAAATGTTGTTAATTTTTAGTTTCCTTCTTTGTATTTTCCTGTATTTTTCATATTTCCAACAATACTGTTTTAATAATAAAAGGAACCAGTAAAAGCGGTTTCAAAAGTATTACTGGGTCAGCTGACAAGACTGGAAAGCGGAAGGTAGATTATATCCAAGCATTCTACCAACATTAAACTTCCTAAAAGTGGAACTATAATGTGGTTACTAAAGAAATACCCTAGTCGCAGGAAACACACACTGAAGAATTTAGGAGTAAAGGGACATTTAACTTCCTTTCAAAAGGTGCAGGGAAAAAAACACAGATACAGAGAGATAAAAAGAGAATATGAAAAGTATAAAACAAATTTATGGGTTAATGAAAGGTCTTTGTACAATTTTTCACCTTTTCTGTATGCTTGAAGTTACTTTTAATTTTGAACAGAAAGCAGCAGTAACTTAACACAGGCATAAAGAATATAATTTACCTCAATATTTTCTTCCCCAAATGTCTCCACAGCTTTCTCCTCAGAAAGACCACAGGCACCATATTCCAAAGGAGTAAACACAGTTGTTGGAACATTCTCATAGTCACACTATTTCAAAACGAAGTAAAGAGTTAAGACAGGAGAAATTATAACTCAAAAAGGGTATACATCAAAAAGGTTCAAAATCAGGAGAAAACAAACTAATAAATTTCTACCACAAGTATGGGAAGTCACAATCCCAGGTATAAACCTACTACCCTGAGAACCATTAACTCATGTGATAGTTGTAATAGAGGTATGAAGTCTGGCAAGATCAGTCATGAATAGATTCATGTGCCTTCTCCATCCAACACCAACTGATGTTAACAACAAGGACACACTTTTTCTCCCTTTATAAAGCAGCCAAAAACAAGACGAGTGTACCCAAAGCTGACAGTCTCATATTGGTGACAGGAATTAATAGACTTCTTTGGAAAACCAATTAGGTAATACCAATTAAGAGCCATAAAAACATTCTTTACCTCTGTGCCAAGAACCCCACTCTTTAGAAATCTATAATAATAATTTACTGTACAGAAAAAGCTCCATGCATTAATTGAGCATTGCTGCAGTATGCCTCAACAGTGGTAATATATTGATTGGCTTTCAAATGCAAATAGGAAAGTGGTTCTACAGTATATATGCTCAGTGTGGTATTATACAGCCACTTCCACTTCAGTGGAAGACCACAGAAACAAAAACAGTTACTGACGCTATTTCTAAAGCATATTTTATGATGTTAATAGTAGAGATGACAAAAGGATTCTGAAGTCAAACAAGTTTGTGAAACGCTGGATTAAGTAAATAAACAGGTTTCTCTACTATGGATTTCTCAGTCTTCAGTACACTGATGTGAAGTGTGGAAAAGAGATTATGTAAATGCCAAATCTGTTTGTAAATGCAATTTGGTAAAAACCTACCGACCACATCTGTACACAGAGGGGAGCCTAACTAACAGTTTGCACTTAAAATATCAGATACTCAATTCCCCTTTAAAACAGTAGGGTAAAATCTTTAAAATGTGTCTCCCTCTAGAAACAATAAATATAATCCTTTTTCTCTAAAAAGAACATAAACCCTTGGAATTAGGAATCAAAAGCACAGGGAGACATCCCCGGACAGCCATCATGGTGTTATCACGGACCAGAATTACCGTCCTGCTTTCAACAACAAGAAAACGAGACAAAGAGCAGGCAACACTTTCAGACACTGGACAACAGGCAGCGCAGGACTGTGATCCCTGACAGAAGAGCAACAAATGAGGCGAGTCCAGTGATTTCTTGTTTACCGTCCAGAGCGCTATCTAGGGACTGGGTGCAAAAGGAGGGAACTCAGAGCCCAGCAGTCTCTCTGAGTCATGGAGGTAAGAGACCACAGTTCAGGGGAGTCAGGGGGGCTTGAAGCTGCGGGGCACCGCCCCAGAGGGTGGAGCTACACAAAAGAACTCTTGAAATCTGTGGGCTGAGAACTGATCTGTCCATGTGTCACAGGAGGTACTCCACGGTAAGGAAAGAACCACTGGAAAGCAGAGGAAGCAGGAGGCCCCAAGTGACCAGAGCTCTTACAGGACTGGAAATAGCTCCTGTTCCCTCAAGCCAGAGTAGAAAGAATTCATAAAGTAAGGGGAACGGGGAGTCCTCCAAAAGGCAGCCCTAGATGAAAGGTGGCCATTGACAGACCCTAAAAAAACACAAAAGCAAGTTTTACAAAAGGATAAAACTAGTTCCACATAACTTAATGGGCGGCCAGCACAAAATCCAACACTGTATAAAGGAATTCAACAAAACCCAGCACCCAACAATGTAAAATGTCCAATGTCCACATTCATCCAAAATAACAAGACATGCAAAGGAGCAGGAACACGTGAAGATAAGTGTACTGTGGCTTCTCTATGGTTTTCACATAAAATATTTTATATATTTATATTTTATTTTTTAAGTAGGCTTCACACCCAACACAGGGCTTGAACTCACAACTCTGAGATCAAGAGTTGCATGGTCTACCGACTGAGCCAGCCAGGCACCCCTAAAATACTTTATAAAACTGAGTTAACAAATAAAGTACCACTTTAATAATAAAGATGCTAATGTTTACTCTTTGTAAAAACAAAGTATTTCAAGTGTTTGAGAGCAATTCTAAAAGGATCCAAGAGACAATTGGTCATTCTGCTGACACGTCCATCATACTGTGCTTTAAACTGGTACGTGCATCTTCTCGTGAGGCTTTTTAAACAAAGGGCTTAGTGGAATGTCCATCATCTACAGGCTGACTCAGTTTTACAGTCTGTTATAGATCAGTTTTTGAAATGATAAAAACTTTTTTTCTTCCCTTCATCTGTGTTTCCAAAAGAATGAATATTTAGTGTATTTAATGGCAAATATTTTTTTAAGTTTCAAAAGTTTATTATTAAATGTTAAAAAGGTTCATTTAAATTTTCCCAATGTATTTGCCACTTCATTTTATTTAGGAAAGTTATGTGTTACAGAGATGTTTGCAAATTGGTGGATTCTTTAAGTCTTGAGATACTTTTCCTATTCCATCCCCTATTTTTCTATAATCTATACTTCCCAAATCTTTCTTAGGCAATAAATCGTCATGATTAAGACAGCAGTACCTAAGATCAGAACTGGACTTCATTTATGCCTCGGCTGCCTCCCAGCCTTATGACCTCGCAGTTACCTAATTTCCCCTTACTATGTCATCAACCTCCACAGCTGCCCCGAGGCTGAGTGAGACAAGGCTCACAAAGCACTTAGCACAGTGCCAAGCATGTCGCAAGAACTCACGTGTAGCGCTTTGTCTCCCTTTCCTCCCAACACTCTGGTAAAGTAGTGAGGAATAGATAGCAATTTTGGAGGAAGGCACTAACACCCAAGATTCAATCTGGGCTCCCTTAAAATCCCATAATGGATTTAACTCAGCCAGGTGTTGATGTTAAGCTAAACTTTTCAACAGAAAAGAGATCTTTTCTGGGAGCTGCTCCTTTAGAAGGAGGGCAGACATGGATTCTCTCACCTTCTCAGATACGTGGTAACAGTCTCATTAACACACGTTGGGCAAAATTAAAGAGATTATGCAGTTGCTTAAAAAAAAAAAAAAGAAGTGTTTGATTTCCCCAAATACATTTAACCTAGGTATCTACTGGCATTTCGACTTGACTTTATTTACTATATTAAAAGATGGATAGACCAGTGAGATTTCAAACTCAGAGATCTGAGCAGCACCTGTTTATATTTTCCTGTTTGGGAAAGCATTTGTCGTCTTATTAGAGTTAGACTAAAAATAAGGGGAAAAAACACAAAAGAGAACAAAAAAGGAGTCCTTTAATTGCAACTTATATTAAATTCTGATGTTGATAAAGCTTAAGGCACTTTAAGAAAAAATTTGCTCTACCTGGCAGAGAAGCACTTTAAGAAAAAATCTGCTCTACCTGGCAGAGAACAGAATACAGTACCATGCCCACATATGGAAGGCCATGTATGTCCAAAGTGGGTGCAAAGATTCATTAAAGGTTTTTAAGAATTTTGTGCTACTTAATTTCAACTTTATTTAGGAGCAAATATTTGCATGTGCCTCCTTTGGTTATTTTTGGCATATAAAAATATCTCCATTTTACTAAAACACAAAAGATGTAAGGTCAAGAACAAATTCAATGCATCGCAGGGTGTATTTCTAAATACCCCTTTCTTGGTTTACCAGATACTCAAAAATTGCAACAATGAATACAAGACGTAACTCATTCAAGGAAGTGGTTAAATTTATCCCAAATAGTAGTAATAACCAGTTGCTACGCCCTGGATGATCAGACAATCTGGAATTTAAAACCCTTTTTAATTTTTAGCCTCAATTCTGTTAATTTCAAAATAGAAGACCTTGCTATGCCACCATCCAAACTAACCCCAGGTACCTTTGAAATGCCGGTCACAAATTTATTAGCTGCATTCTTTGAGGTTTCCATTACTTTAACCAACCTAGATCAACCCATGGTGATTAATGTGTAAGGAAAATGGGCAGAGACTAAGTGCTTTACAATCAGTGTTCCTGGAATCCTTTCCAATAATTAATTAGGGAGGAAATGTTGATAATGGGGAAGGCTATGCACGTATGAGGGCAGGGAAAAACACATGGTTTGAAATCTTGGTACCTTCCCTCTCAGTTTTGCTGTGAACCTGTAACTGCTCTAAAAACTCATCTTAAAAAATGAGAGTCTATTTATTCTTGCCATCTAGTCCCATGAAACATACCTAAGAGTTTCAATTTCCTATACTGACTTTAAAAAAAATCACTTTAGAACATTAATATAACACGTTAAACATTCCAAGAGCGGAAGACATATTTTTAAAAATGACAGGGTAATAAAGCCTGAATATTGGTTTAACAGCTTTGCAAACTGACATTATTAACCAGATCCCCAAATCCTTTTATAGCCTAGATAGGTGCCATAAAAGGATTTAGAAAATTCCTAAATTGGTAATAATGAAATTAATGTAAAACGCAACTATTATGCATATATGGAACATAACAGTGCTGAAACTTGATTAATCAAGCTCATTTTATACCCAGTGTGATTCCAAGAATGACAATTTTCATAATAAAGTCATAAAAGTACAGCAGTCTTAACAACATCTTGTTTGGGATACAGTTAATAAAGCACATCTAGGATGCCGTCAGCAAGACAGCTAAATTATTCAAGACCTTGAAAACTTCACAGCTACCCCTGACTAGGGTACTGGTAGTATTACTGAAAACAGTATCAATAGTGGGGCACCTGGGTAGCGCAGTCGGTTAAGTGTCCAACTCTTGGTTTCGGCTCAGGTTGTAATCTCATAGATCGTGGGATCGAGTCCTGTGTAGGGCTCCATGCTCAATACAGAGTCGGCTTGAGATTCTCTCTCCCTTTGCCCCTCCCCCACTCACACACGCTCTCTTTCTCTCTCAAATAAATAAATAAACAAAACAAAAAAATCCAGCATCAGTAAGTGTCATCCACAAACTCACCTTCACATTGGAGCCAGCATAAAGCCTCTGAGCCAGCAATCTTCCTGCCTGGATTGCTACTGGGGTAAGCTCCAGCTTCCCCTCTAATATATCGCCAATGGCATAGATGTAAGGCACATTGGTCTGTTCCTCATCTGTGACAGGTATTTTTCCAGTCCTGAAAATTCATTCAGTTAAAATCATCAATTACCACTATTAAGTAGAACAAAATCTCCTTTCTCCCAAAGAAGCCCAAAATTGTGATTCTAGCTAAGGGCAATGTTCTAATGTGTTAACTTAAAAATATATACACACAGGGGCGCCTAGGTGGCTCGGTTGGTTAAGCATCCGACTCTTGATTTCAGCTCAGGTCACGATCTCAGGATCATGAGATCAAGCCCTGCATCAGGCTCCACGCTGAGCATGGAGCCTGCTTAAGATTCTCTCTCTCCCTCTGCCTCTCCCCACATCACATCACCATAGCCCCCTTGCACTCTCTCTCTAAAAAAATACATACATACATAAAATAAAATAATATAAAATAAAAATTTAAAAAAATACGTAAAAAGCTTAGAGACTATTCTGGAATAAGAAAAACGTAAGAAACTTTGGGGGAAAACTACAACAGTGGTTAAGAATATGCAGATTCTAATTATGCAGCCATCAAAAGGAATGAGATCTTGCCATTTGCAACGACCTGGATGGAACTGGAGGGTGTTATGCTGAGTGAAATAAGTCAATCAGAGAAAGACATGTATCATATGACCTCACTGATATGAGGAATTCTTTTTTTTTTTTTTTTAAAGATTTTATTTATTTATTTGACAGAGAGAGAGACAGCGAGAGCAGGAACACAAGCAGGGGGAGTGGGAGAGGAAGAAGCAGGCTTCCTGCAGAGCAAGGAGCCCGATGTGGGACTCGATCCCAGGACCCTGAGATCATGACCTGAGCCGAAGGCAGACGCTTAACGACCGAGCCACCCAGGCGCCCTGATAGGAGGAATTCTTAATCTCAGGAAACAAACTGAGGGTTGCTGGAGTGGGGGTGGGGTGGGAGGGATGGGGTGGGTGGTGATGGACACTGGGGAGGGTATGTGCTATGGTGAGCGCTATGAATTGTGCAAGACTGTTGAATCATAGATCTGTACCTCTGAAACAAATAATGCAATAAATGTTAAGGGAAAAAAAAGAAGATAGCAGGAGGGGAAGAATGAAGGGGGGGAAATTGGAGGGGGAGACGAACCATGAGAGATGATGGACTCTGAAAAACAAACTGAGGGTTCTAGAGGGGAGGGGGGTGGGGGGATGGGTTAGCCTGGCGATGGGTATTAAAGAGGGCATGTTCTGCGTGGAGCACTGGGTGTTATGCACAAACAATGAACCATGGAACAATACATCAAGAACTAATGATGCAATGTATGGTGATTAACATAACAATAAAAAATTTAAAGAAAAGAATATGCAGATTCCAGGGGCGCCTGGATGGCTCGGTAGAGGAGCATGCGACTCTTGATCTTAGGGTTGTGTGAGCCCCACGTTGGCTGTAGAGATTACTTAAATAAATAAAACTTAAAAAAAAAAAAAAGAGAGGGCGCCTGGGTGGCTCAGTTGGTTAAGCGACTGCCTTTGGCACAGGTCATGATCCTGGGGTCCCAGGAGTCCCTCATCGGGCTCCCTGCTGAGCAGGGAGTCTGCTTCTCCCTCTGACCCTCCCCCCACCTTAGGCTCTCATTCTCTCTCAAATAAATAAAATAAAATCTTAAAAAAAGAATATGCAGATTCTAAACTATAATAACCAGGTCTGTTAGTTATCACCTCTATGATGTTGGGAGGGCTATTTAATATCGCTAAGCTTCATTTTCCCACCTATAAATGGGAACCATAATAATGGGAATACTGGTAATAAGAAAAAGGATACCATCTTCTATCTTAAGGGAATATGAGGATTCAATGAAAATGTGTACAAAATATTTAGCACAAAAGTCCATGGCTCACAGTAAGTGCACAGCAAGTGTCAGCTGTTAACATTACACAAAATCTAAGCTTTAGACCCACTGGGAACAGGCTAGCAGGTTTATTAAGTTGAGGGAACATTTGGTCTGCTAAATCTTATTGGTGACCTCCTCAACAACTGTCTTTTCATCCTAGTAAAAAAATGAATTTTCAAAAATCCTCACAATCAGACTAGGAAGTTTCTTCTCCAAACTACAGGTTATTCCTGAAAGGGGAAAAGAAACCTGTATTTTTAGCTTCCCAGACATTTGGCATACACAGTACTTATTTTTACTGGGCCTTTTAGGAAGGTGCTATTGGGCAATAGCCCCAGGCAGGAGATAAGCAGCTGCCACCGATCTTAGTCATCTCATGTGGTGCTGTAGTCCAGAGGATCTGAAGAACTCTTAACCCAGAAAAAAAGTTTTTGATACTTGCAGCTGTCACTAGAAATACAGTGACCACTCATCATCCTAAAACTTGGTAGCTCTAAACATGGCTCAAATCTACATATTTAATGAAGCTCAAAGCACACACCTGCAATTAGCTGTGCAGTTAGATTCTTTTTCTGGACACTATACCTTAAAGAAACAAAATGCAAGCTGCTCTCTCTGCCATTTAGATTTTGAAAAGGGAAAAAAATAAAACAGGAAATACTAATGTGAGCGGCACTGGGAGTTTTCTCCAACTATAATAAAAACTAACTCTAAAAATCTAAAACTCCACTATTAATCAGTATTAGAAATAACTGAAATAGTATTTGATAAGATATAATAAATTTTTTTCTCTTACTTTTCATTTATCTTTACCCCCACGGTTTCTAAGCCAATTTTTCTTGTGCAAGCATCTCTTCCTATTGCCAGCAATACCTGAAAAGTTATTAATATATCAGTGACTGTTATCAAAAAGGCTGCATATAAGTTACTTAATAATTAAGCCAATCTGATTTCATTTTCCAGACCTGGAAAGAAATATTTCATTAAGAAAATAATGCAAGAGTTTAAACAAATTATTTTAAAAAATATATCCACTGAACAGGATATAGCAGAAATCCTTATCCATTTATTAAGAAAAAGAAAGTTAATAATTCCTTTCTAAATCTAGCCAAGTTTAGGGACAAAGATAGCATAGCCTATGACTGAATTATTTTTTTTTTAAGTAGTGAGCTAGGGAGCTTAAAATTTTGAAAGAGAAGTTCTAGGTCATTTAAAAACTTGGATGCCTTTTTTAGCTATTTGACAAATGATGTTTTTAAGTTACATATAAAACAAATTATAATATCACAAGTAATAAAGGTGTCTTAAAATGGGAATATAATCAAGGGTTTTGGAAACAGAAAACTGCCATTGTATGTACCCAGCAAATATCCAAAAAGCACATTATTTGCTTTCTAATGAAGCAATAACCTGGGTCCACTCCTTACCGTATTATACTCTCCTTCGATGATTTCATCACTACTGGTGGACTTAGCTATCACCCTGAGTCGGCCTGGTGTCCCTGCTTCAATTTGTTCAACCTATAAAAGTAATAAAGTTTTACTCCACAATAAGAACATGTACTAACCCCCTTCTATCAGGTTAATGCAAAGTTAAACACAAAATCTGGCTGGAAAGGTCTTTCATGTCTCATCTCCCTCACCTTAACATCATTAGGACAATAAGATTTTTTTTATTTTACCCCCTTCTTTCTTGTTGCTTAATGTTTGCTGGAGTGCTTTCTTTCAAATAATTCCCAAACAGAATGAAATTCAAAGAGAAAAGTGGGAGAGGACTACAATCACTAAACTCCAACTAAAGACTTGCTGCTTTTCCCAGGCTCCTATATTGCAACTCACCCAGAACCATTAACCCCCTGGAGAGCCACTACTGCTCAAGTTCAGAGATTCTCTTCCAACTACAGATGTGCAGCTTGGTCAACAAAGAATAGACACTGGAGTAAATCAAACATGATACAGGTTAACAGCTAGAGCACCCTAAATAGTACAGGGAGCAAGGAGGTAGGTTTATCATAAGTAGGGGTAGTCTTCAGTTGTCAGGGATGTAAGGAGGAAGGAGCAAACCCTGGAGCTGTGCTGTGCCAGATGGGATCAAACACACTAGCCCACTACTCCGAGATGCCAACCATGACCTCCAAACTAGGTAGCGACAGATGAAAAACTTCATCACCTGGAGGCTTCTGCAGGTCTGTAGTTCACCTTTGTCTCTGAATGACAGCAAATCATGGGTTTCTATAAAATATTTGCTCAAAGAAACTTAAAATCACCTGCAATTTCTACTCTACCTTATAGATACAACCATTCTGTATGGGAAGACTGCCAAGGATCATTTTACTTTCACCATCAATACAATAATAAAGATTTTCTTCTCAAATTCCCTTCCTTTTTATATAGTTAAGCCCATTTGAACATACTGAAAATGTCTTTCCTATTTAAGTTTAATGTTCTAACCTCTGGAGAAGTGCTGCATTACTCAGATTAGCTGCATTAGCTCAGATTTGCCTAAAAACGATAAAGGCCTCATCACACCTCTAGTTCCTTCCTGCCTCACTTACTTTTGTATTCCAGTTAGGCTTTTCCTGTATCTAAAACAATTTCTGCATTTAGAACAACTTTATTCCCCGTAATCTCTCTGCACATCACACTGCTCTGTCCCAAACATGTTCTCTCCTTCCTCCCTGCAGAAGGCCACTTCTACTAGGTCACTGGCTAATGCAACACAGCTTCACCAAGGCCCATGGGGGTGAGAGAGACCCTGGGAACCCAAGTAAAATGTCAGGTGCACAGATATATTTATTTCACTAGGAGTTAGTCCACAAGATCCTCAAACTTGCCCAAAACTCTCCAAATATTAAGACATTATAAAGGAATGGTCAATTAATCTTCAACAAAGGAGGCAAGAATATGCAATGGGAAAGACAGTCTCTTCAATAAATGGTGTTGGGAAAAACTATAGCTACATGCAAAAAAAAAAAAAAATGAAAGTGGCCCACTTGCTCACACAATACACAAAAATAAACTCAAAATGGATTAAAGACCTAAATGTGAGACCTGAAACCATAAAAACCCAAGAAGAGAACACAGGCAGTAACTTCTCTGACATCGGCCCTAACAACATTTTTCTAGATACGTCTCCTGAGGCAAGGGGAAAAAAAGCAAAAATGAACTACTGGGACTACATCAAAATAAAAAGCTCTCGCACAACGAAGGAAACAATCAACAAAACTAAAAGACAACCTACTGAATGGGAGAAGACATATACAAATGACATATCTAATAAAGGGTTAGCATCCAAAATACATAAAGAATTTCTCAAAAAAAAAAAGAATTTATACACTCAACACCAAAAAAACAAATAATCCAACTAAAAAATGGGCAAAAGTAGGGCACCTGAGTAGCTCAGTCAGTTAAGTGTCTTGACTCTTGATCTCAGACCAGGTCATGATCTCAAGAGTCATGAATTCAAGCCCCACGGAGCCTACTTAAAAAAAAAAATGAGCAGAAGACATGACAGACATTTCTCCAAAGAAGGCATCCAGATGGCCAACAGACACATGAAAAGATGATCAACAACACTCATCCTCAGGGAAATGCAAATCAAAACCACACACCATGAGCAGGGAATCCCTGGGTGGCTTAATCAATTAAGCATCTGCCTTCAGCTCAGGTCATGATCCCAGGGTCTGGGATCCAGCCCCATTATCAGGCTCCCTACTCCATGGGGAGTCTGCTTCTCCCGCCCCCTCTGCCCCCCAACACCCACTCTTGCTCTCTCTCAAATAAACACATAAAATCTTAAACCCACAATGAGATATTACTTCACACCTGTCAGAATAGCTAAAATCAAAAACATAAGAAACAACAAATGTTGGCAAGGATATGGAGAAATAGGAACCCTCGTGCACTGTTGGTGGGAACGCAAACTGGTGCAGCCACTGTGGAAGACAATATGGAGGTTCCTTAAAAAATTAAAAGTAGAGGGGTGCCTGGATGACTCGGACAGTCTGCCTCTTGATTTCGGCTCAGGTCATGATCTCAGGGTCCCGGGACAGAGCCCCCTGATGGGCTCTGCACTCTTCGCAAGTCTGCTTATCCCTCTCCCTCCTCTCTGCCCCTCCCCCCCAATCCCCACTCAATGTGTACACACTCTCTCTAGAATAAATAAAATCTTTTTAAAAAAAATTAAAACTGGAACTACCCTATGATCCAGTAATTGCACTACCAGGTATTTACCCAAAGAATATGAAAACATTAATTTGAAAGGATACATGCACCCCTATGTTTATTGCAGCATTATCTACAATAGCCAAATTATGGAAGGAGGCCAAGTGTCCATCAGTAGATGAATAAAGATGTGATTTATACAAACAATGGAATATTACTCAGCCATAAAAAAAGAATGAAATCTTGTCATTTGCAACATGGATGGAGCTAGAGAAAATACAACGCTACGCAAAATAAGTCAGTCAGAGAAAGACAAAGAATGTAAGGTTTCACTCATGTGGAATTTAAGAAACAAAACAAACGAATAAAAGAAAAAAGACAAACCAAACCAACAGACTCTTAACTATAAGAAGAAACAGATGGTTCAGAGGACAGGTGAGTGGGGGGATGGGTAAAATAGGTGATGGGGATTAAGGAGGGCACTTATCATGATGAGCACTGGGTGACGCATAGCATTGCTGAATCACTATATTGCACACCTGAAACTAATATAACACTCCATGTTAACTACACTGGAATTTTAAAAAAGACATTATAGTAAGAGGTTACTCTTCTATCAGAACAACGTGTACGTACAGCTGTTGTTTTCTAATCATGGTCCTAGTGCAAACATAGCATATCTACCTCCACTCCCTAAAAAACAACTCCAGTAATCAAGTACTGATTACTTCCAGGACATCTGCTACTTAATCCTCACTACAATATTGGGAGATAGGTTCATTTAAGATTTACTCTGTGCCAGGTCTGTTCCAAATACTTTCTAAGTGTCAGCTAATGCAATCTTCATAGGAACTCTGAGACGGGTGCTATTATCATCCTGATTTTACAGAAGAAACAAGCTCAGAGAGGTTAAGTAATTCCTCCAAAGTCATATAGTGAGAAAATGCCAGAACAGTATTGAAAGCAAGTCATGATCATCCCAAAGCTCAAACTCTACCCATCTACATTAAGAGATCCCTAACATGGTCCTACAAAGAACCTAAGTTAAGCCACTGAACAAACTTCACAGCTAAAATTCCTTAATTTGTGTTAACACAACAGTCTCATCCTTACCTGCTCGAAAGGAAATTTATCTATTAGTCTGAGATACAAGAAGTGATTGATTTTGTCACTTTTATATATCAAAATATGTGTAAATTGGCTTATTTTTCGATCTTTTCAAAAGAAGATTAAAGAAGCAAAAAAGGCCAGCCCATATAACAAAATTAGATAATCGTTCTCAGAGAAGCCAGAATAATACTGTGCATCTGTTGACTACACAGTATACCAAGGGCAAATGTCTTATGAAAAAAATTTAAAAACCAGCCCAGTCTTGAACTCTTATTTAAATCACTGGTGTGTATCGAGAACAAAGGATAACAGACCAAAGATTATAAAGTAAAGGGATGCCTGAAGGAAAGCATTAAACAAAAGAGAACCAAAGAAAGTTGAGAAGAGACTAAAGACATTATTAATCTGCAGCTGAGAACAAAGCTGTTTAGGTGGTAGCAGGTACAAGTTCATATACCAGTGTCACAGATGAGGCACTGCAGCATTCCTAACGGTTTATAATGCCGAAAAAAAAGCTCCCATCGCCCACCCCAAAACGCTCTCTCCTGCCATTTAAAGGTCAGTATAGGGCACCTGGGTGGCTCAGTTGGTTGAGTGACTGCCTTCAGCTCAGGTCATGATCCTGGAGTCCCGGGATCAGGTCCCACATCAGGCTCCCTGCTCGGCGGGGGCATCTGCTTCTCCCTCTGACCCTCCCCCTTCTCGTGCTCTCTCTCTCTCTCAAATAAATAAATAAAGATCTTTAAAAAATAAAGGTAAGTATAAAAGCAACAAACCTACGAGCAACTCCACTTACTTTTATTGGTATAAACTGTTTTATAAACTTGACACCATGTTCTTCCATATGTTCACCAATTTTGTTGGCCATGTCCTGGTCAAATCCTCTAAGGAGAATGGATCGTACCATAACAGTAACATCTAAGCCAATGCCAGCAAGAAATCCAGCACATTCAAGGGCAACATAGGATGCTCCAACCACCAGCGTCTTACCCGGGCAATAAGGTAAGGAGAAAAGATCATCACTGAAAAGAAATTTTAAAAAATAAAATAAAATAAAAAAAGAAGAAAAGAAAGAAATTGAAAATGTTCATATGTGAGTAATGACTAAATCAAAGCAAAATTTTTGGTTTCTCAAGAACAATACACTTTTAAGATTAAAAACATTCAATTAGCTACACACATAATATATGAGAAGTGTTTACAAGGCCTTAGACACTGTCCCTCTCTTGCCACTCAGCTGCTTTGGGAGTAGCTCAAGCTGCCCAGGGCCAAACACAGCAAACCACCTAACTCATGGTCAAACAAAATAATTCTGAACTGTTTGGAGTAATTCTCCCCTAATGTGTCTAATATCGTATATTCACAAACCCAAACCCCCACCCCTCATATATCACCACCACTCAGTTCTTTCCGAGGTGGAAAATCTGTGTTACTTCTTTTTATCTGGAACACCAATTATCAAGAATGGGGAGAAAAGGAGAAAACTTCCAACATAACTGTTTTCTAAAATAAAAACCAACTATAAAAAGGAAAACCTGACAAAATCTTTTAGTCAAGTGAAGAATATACAAGACATGAGAGAGATCAGAAAAGCATTGTTAGGAAATGAGTTTTTTTTTAAATATGAGAAAGGAAGCTATCCAAGACAACAAAGAGAACTGTTGCCATCTGAGCTGCCCCTATATGAGCCACAAAGGAAAAAAATCGTATCTCCTCCCCCAAAAAAGGGCCTGAAAGGAATAACTTATAACACAATCAGAAACTTCTGGGCAAAAAGCATCCAAGAGTACATATTTTTCAACAACCTCTCTTAATGTCGTCATAATGTGAAATTCCTTATTTTATTCCTAATGTGAATTGTTATGTCACCGTATGATCACCAGATGGGCAAAAATAAATCACACAGCCAAACCTTGTTTGACTCATTTCAGAAGGCCAACCTACACTGACATTGTGACCATGTGAACAGCAAGGAGGAGGGACTAGGGTTTAATAAATCTACATGGCCCGCCATTCTGTCATTGTTTTAGCATCTGCATGAATATCCATCTGGTTTTAAATATTATACATTTCTAATATACACTCACACGTATGTACATTCCAAACATAAATCTATATGTCAGCAGTGATGTTAACTGGGTGGTAAGATGACCAATGTTTAGTCTTGAATTCTTGCATAAAATAATTTTTCCCTTCTCTTTTTTCCCAAGTCCCTGTCCCTTTGGGCAAAAATGTGGCAAAACACTAGGATGTTCTAGGAATGGACTGAATGTGTTTGAAGAAAAAAAAACCTGAAAAGCATAAATCTACAATGGGTTTCTCTTTTCTCCCTGCAACACTCCCTTACCTGCTGATGCAGTACTCTCTGTCACCAGGGATGCCCAAGTAACGTGGCCTCTCACCAGTAGCAATGAGAAATCTCTCTGCTGAATAAATTTTTTCTTTGCCTTTGTTATTTGTTGCCTACAAAGAAACCAATGTCAACTTTAAATAACTTATTATTCATTAGATAGTTAACAAAGGCCATTCACATTATCCAATTTGATCTTCATAAAAATTTGGTAATACATAAAGATGTGAAGGCTGAGTAGTTAATAGACTTAGTCAAAATCATAAATCTGGTAAGTGGCAGAGCCGAGAGTCAAATCCAGGTAACCTGGCCCCAAATCCAGTATGCTCACACTACCACCCCACAAGAGAAAGTCCCATAAGATGTGACTGCAAAATCGCCAAACTGGACAGTTTGGGTCACCATGGCTTTTCCTTCTACTAAGATAATCACTTTTCTCTTTTCCTCCCCTACCCCCAACCAATCACACAATTACCTTAATCCTATGAGGACCCACAAACTGCCCAAATGCATTCTCATAGGTGACTTTCTTCTCCCGCAGAGCTACCCGGTAGCCCCAGTTCAGAGAACCAATGTGGTTCTGTACGGCTTCTGTCATTTTATTCCAGTCATGTTTAACTGCACAAGAAGAGAAGACGAAATGTTTTTAGCTTTTCAACTGCCAGGCAAAGATCATTTCTCAGTAACTATTCGCATGGAATACAAAGAGCAGAGCTTTTAGTCTGAAAGAGCAGGGTCCTTCATTTTAAGCATATAAACAACTTTTTCATGCTCAAATATTCTTTCCTTTTTAGAAGACTATCAGACAATTCATCATGCAAGGCTTTCTGATAATTCTTTAAAATAACTAGGCGCAAACTTTTTTTCTTTTTTAGAAATGAACGAGAATTTTACTTTGATTGTAAATACTGATTGCTGGAATAATAAGGTGTGGTAAAGCCTAAGATCTTGTATTTTTAACAATCCCCAAGGGATCCTGATGTAGCCAGGTCTGGAGTGAGTGAGCTGGTAACAGAGTCTAGACCAGAGGCCGGCGAACAAAGGCCAACTAAGGCCCCACAGCCAAATGTAGCCCATCACCTTTTTAAAAAGTTTATATACCCACGATCACTTATTTACATGTATCATCTAGGGCTTCTTTTGTGCCACAATGGCAGAGCTGAGTAGTTGTGACAGGGATCATTGGGCCTGTGAAGCCTAAAATATTTACTATCTGGCCTTGTATTACATTCAAAGTTTGCTGACCCTTGATCTAGACAGAGTATTTTAAGACTGTCTCACTGACTCCCAAATCCCCATCTCACCAAAGAGAGGAAGATTTTTTTAATTCTATCATAAAATGAATCTTTTGGGGGGCACCTGGGCGGTTCAGTCAGTTAGGCATCCGACTCATGATTTAGGCTCAGGCCATGGTCTCAGGGTCATGAGATCCAGCCCTGGGTCGGGCCCCACACTCAGTGGGGAGTCTGCTCTGGATTCTCTCTCTACCTCTCCCTCTGCCCCTCCCTGTGCATGCACACTCTTTATCCTTCTCTATAATAAATCAATTTAAAAAAAAAAAAAAGAATCCTTTGAGCCAGGCACTAATATATTAAATTTCAATGGATAAAAATCAATCATTCATTCATTAATGACTTATCAATGACTAGAAAAAAAATAGAGGACACAGATAAAATATACTCTCGTGACAGGACAAAGGCAGGTCCTAGGAAAGCTGTGGTTTGGAAAGAAGGAAAAGAGAATCAATATATACTGAAAGATCTGTCGTCTGAATCTTAGATTCAGGGTCAATAAGTTGCTTGGCCACATAAGAAGTGGTGAGCCAAGTCTAGCCACCCAACGGCCAGCCTCTAGAACTGAGAATGACAACACAAAAATTGGTCTGTAGCCTCCCAGAGAATAGATCGCCGATATTCAGTTCACAGAATCATAAAATGTTAGACTTTGAGAGATCAATGAAAACAGAGTGACTGCAGAAGCCACTGTGGTTGCAATGCTGAGAGGGTGATTTGCTGGGGGGCGGGGCTGGGGAGCGCGAAGGGAGCCCTGCCAACCCGCCCATTTGGCCTCAGTCTAGACGAAAGAAGAGAAAGGATTCACTCCTGCTTTCTTCCCCAGGAATGGAATACAATCGTGTAACTCACCCCTCTATGCTAATCATCTAGCTGTAACAATTCCCAACATTTTGCCAATCTCATTTCATATACCCCCTTTTTCACTAGAGTATTTAAGATTTTATTTTATTGGGGGGGGGGAGAGGGAGAGAGAGAGAGAGAGAGAGAGAGAGAGAATATGCACATGAGCGAGGGGAGGGGCAGAAAGAGAGGGAGAGGGAGAAGCAGACTCCCGGCTGAGCACAGAGCCTGACATGGAGCTGGATCCCCGGACCCTGAGATCATGACCTGAGCCAAAGTCAGACCAACTGAGCCACCCAGGTGCCCCTTTACTAGAATTATTTTAAGCAAATCCCTAACATTTTATTGGTGATGTGTTTGGCTGTTACAGTGATTTAGGAATGACCAAAGGCCAGCGATGTTAAATATCCTTTACTATAGTTTCTTACAATTAGGAAGTGTCCAGCCCAACATACCAATAACGCCCCCGGGGAGAAATAATGAACCAGACCACAGGGACGATTGATTCACTTCGGAAATTTCACAATTATAGAACTATTAAGTGGATTATACTCTGCTAATCCATCAGGAGATACTATATTCTAAATAAGACAGAGTTGAGATTAAATAATAGCACCAAAAAATTCAATTATTTCAAAATTCAAGTTTGACGATTAGACCTATCCCAGCCTTAATTCTGTTAAAGCTTTCCTTTGCAGCCATCAGGCCCCACCTGATTTTCAAATTCCTCAAACCCCTTTTCTACCAAAGTTCCTTCTTCACCCTCTGGTATAGAGGGCAGTCACCCCCGTCCCCAATCTCTAGTGTGATTATGCTCAGGCAGAAGGAACTCAAACATTCTAGCCCACCAGTTTGGGATTCAGCATCTGGGAACTCTAGCTACTCCTATGGTCCTGATCTTGCATTTCATTCAGAGAATTAAGCTTCTGTCTTGTAAAATCCAAATTCCTACTTTATGTACTACTGGCGGTAAATGGATCCTTGCTGGACTCTGGATGGTAACATATCTGGAACCCTAGTTCTCTAGGGCTGTGCTGCCTTCTGATAATGCCCCAAATCCACCACTTCCTTGAATTCCCAAACACTACCTGGATAGTGCACATCCCCACTCAGCCCACCTGCCGATACAGTTCCAGCATTTCTCATAGGTCTCCAGATTCAGCCGGCTCAGTCTACCAGTTATAATCCAATGCTAAGCTTCTGCAATATAGATTCTAGCTGAGCAGGCAAGATGTGTAATTCACCTGTGTGTGACATTAATGCCCACCACAGCAGCTGGATCTTAAAGCCAACTGTCTGTTGCTCCTGCTCTGCCCCTATCCTACTACAGAAAGCCAGGCCACACTCTTAAATTTGACAAGAGTAATCAGACTAACTGAACTTTGTGGTATCTTTAACATCTTCAGCGCACCTACTTATTCGAACTTCAGAACACCTGAAGAGGTACAAATTACTTCCAGTATATACACAGGGAGATCAAGGATGGATGACCTACCCAAGGCCACACACTAATTCAGTGGCAGACACAGATACACTATATATGAAACATCAGGAGTGTGTAGGAAGAATTAATCCTGTAAATCCTCAATGATCTTGCTTTCTTTGTAATGATAGACGGATCATAAAACTTCTCAAATAAAGGGCAGATCACAGCTGAGTCCTAGATGTGTCACTCCGCCAGTCACAGATTCAGCTCTGCTGCCTGGTCCAGCTCCCTCTCCTCCTTCCACGCCTAGAGCTATCTACAGTGTCAGAGAAGAAAACCTTCCCAGAACACTGGAGCACTGTTACACTGTTACTTGGTCAAGGTCATGAGATTAGCTGTGTTTCTATTTAAAAAATGCAAAATTAAGCCTTCATGCTTTATCTGTGGGAACAGGGATCAGCAGCCTCTAGGGGTTTCTCATTTGAAAAATACATTGCCAAGTTTCTTTCTCCCTCTAAGACCTAATGACATAAAGTAACATCTGTCTAAATCCACTGTACTCCTCACTACAACCATTTTAAAAGGAGGGAGGTGGTGACCGCTCCCTCAGTGGTGGATCCTGACAGGCGCGGCAGACCTGGGTCTCTGCTAGGCCACAGCTAGCTTCAGAAGTCCCAAGGCTCAATGAGAAGAACGGAAGATAACACAGTAAACAAACCACAAGGTTTCCATTTAGGAAGAGTGAAGGGATTTAAATACAGGGCACAACTCTCATCAAAGATTGTTGCTCCCAGCATATACAAGAGAAGGAAGGTATAAAAATAGAAAATTATATATTTCTAACATTACAACCTGGAAAGGGGGAAGAAGCACAAGAGTAAAACTGTTAATTTAGTTGAATAAATAATTTCTTTAAAGACAGACTTTGATTTGGTCCAAGTCTTAAAATCCCATTAAAATTCAGGGAGCTGGGGTGCCTGGGTGGCTCAGTCATTAAGCGTCTGCCTTCGGCTCAGGTCATGATCCCAGGGTCCTGGGATCGAGCCCCGCATCGGGCTCCCTGCTCCACGGGGAGCCTGCTTCTCCCTCTCCCACTGTCCCTGCTTGTGTTCCCTCTCTCCCTGTCGCTCTCTCTGTCAAATAAATAAATAAAATCTTTAAATAAATAAATAAATAGATAAATTTCAGGGAGTTTTTACTGGTTTTAATGTATAGATCTGGACCATGCCAGTAGTGGCTCTTTATTACCTCAGCGGCTATACATTTATTAGTTCTCTGTTATAAAATTTAGAAATAAATTCAACATAAATAAGCATAGCTACTGTTTATTGTTACCTGACAGCTACAGAGATATTCTTCTGCTGGAAAGATCTGTCAATTCACCAAATTCTATTTCACCACCCACTTGATTACTGAATTTATTAGAATTATACTTAGTTGGCCCTGTTAATAAAATTTCACATTCAGCAGAAGTCTGTACTTAACTTTTTAAGATTCTAAAGACCCACTATATATACTTCTACATTTCTAACTAAATTAAGCAATTCTGTTCCTGTGACTTTATTTTTCATAAGAGTGGATAGCTTAAAGCTAACAGCAATTAGTACAACATACCAATTTGAGTACTAGATCCCTATATGAATAAATAAAAATTGCGTGACTGAGTTATATAGCTCCCGGCACTGTTATTTACCTAGATTTAAGAGACAGACACATTAGGTATAGATGACAGCATATGGAAATTATAAAGCTACATAAATCAAAATTTGCTTGGAACAACCTTACTTTTTCCAACGAACTCTAGACTTTTTCAGGTGAATATTCTTGTTACATGTCCTCTTTAAGAGGGAACTAACTTGGTTCAAACATACGAACTTCCTATATCTGTAAATGTTTTTCTACACCCCATTAAACAAAGAACCAAGTGCTTGGCAGAGTCTACTCCAATTTATTGAAACTGTGAATGGAAGAATTAAAAGCAGCAAGTCCAGAGGAAGACACAAAAACGATATGATGAGTAGTGGCTATCTGAGCCGCTGCCGTACTTAATCCTCATGACATGCAGTGAACGGCAAAGTCAGAAGTTGTGCCAGGTCTGACTATTACATTAACCTACATTTTAATGTGTCAGGAGGGCTGGGGTGAAGGAAGTTCTTAACCCAAGGGACCCAGAATACCAGCAAAGACTGTGTGCCCACTTAACTCACGTTACCAATTTTACCTCTGGGCTCCCAGGGTACGTGGTCTGCACATCAATGATATTAGTGCATCAGTGATTAGCGGAATCTGTGTACCTATACCATTTGTGTTACTCATCTCTGTATTTCCCCAGCACAGACTCAACTGCAAATAGTGGGCACTCAACAGCGATATTCTATAACCTTATCAGCAGAATTTCTAAAATGTCTACTAGGAAGTCTAATAAATTAACTGAAGGGAGACCTCTTGTTAACCAGGTACATTAAAAGCAGGCTTCCAGGAAGGGAAAGAGTGTATGAATGGCAGACTCAGTGAGACTTTCAGACACAGAAGGAAACAATAACTTGGGGAGGGGGACAGAAGTGGGCCTAGGGGCAGACTATCGGTAGATTATGTGTTAAATTCATATTCCATAGGTCAAAAGGGTCACCTCGACTGCCCTTTTTGTTGGCAAGAGAAAAGGATATGAGGCATGGCACCTCAGAAGTAAACAAGGAAACTCTTAGTACCAGCCTCAGGCCCCGAAGGTCATGGACAGAGAATAGCTTTGTAAGGATCTGAGGAAAGAGAGGTGACTCCAGCATAAGAACACTTTTAAAGTAATTGATTTTCTAAGACTACAGACTTGGGGAAAAAAGTACTGTTGATTTCAAACAGGAAGTAAAAGCATCAAACAGAGGAAGCAGGACTAATTTGAGTAGGGGCAAAATGTTTCAAAGCATGTATTTATGCCTTATTTTAATATTTAATAAACTATTAATTAAAACTCAGAAAAAACTACAAAATAAAATACCCTGGCAAATGCCCCGTACCCTGTAGATCTCAAAACTACTATCAGGGAGCATCTGGGTGGCTCGGTTGGTTGAGCATCTGCCTTCGGCTCAGGTCATGATCTCCAGGTCCTGAGATGGAGCCCCATGTTGGGCTCCCAGCTCAGTGGGGAGCCTGCTTCTCCCTCTCCCTCTGCCTCTCTCTCTGCTTGTACTCTCTCTCTCGAAGGAATAAATAAAATCTTTAAGAACAACAACAAAAAACTAATATCACATAAGACTGGAGTTTCCCTCTTCAAGGACATGGTGACCTATGTCGTTAATTAACTATGCAGCCGTGCCAACCTCATTTTTTTCTTCTACCAGATAATGTAATCTACTTTCCAAAGGCAGCAATTTCTCTTCAACTTTCCTAGGGTTGCTAGGGTACTCTAGATATTTTACCCAACAAAGACTAACCATCTCTTTCTCAACAAATAAGCAGTCCCCCCACCCCCAAAATATCAGCTCATGAAACATTTCTTTGGAGAGAGAAAAATAAAACAGCTTCCAAGGAGAGCAAATGTAACTTACACTCTTTATGAAACTCTATATATAAGAATTTATTTGAAGGGCACTTGGCTGGCTCAGTCGGTAGAGTGTGCGACTCTCGATCTTGGGGTCATGAGTTTGAGCCCCACATTGGGCACAGAGATTACTTAAAAATAATAATAACAACAATAATAATAAAGAATTTATCTAAAAAATTCTGGTTTTCTATTATAGAAAGGCACTCCAAATACAGTATCTGTTCTTACTACAACAGCTATGCAGCTATCTGACACAGAATAACTACAGTAATTTTATACATAAAAACTGTCAGCAGTAAAAACCCCCAGGTCAATTTCTAGTCCCATAAAAATGGATGGTGCTTTGCAAGCTCATAGCTCAAATCCCTCAAAAGCACAAACGGAAGAGCGGCTTCTCCCACCATACCTGTCTCCTCGGTGTTCCAACCATAGTTGCGAGAGTCTTGTAGGGCTTGTCCTAACAAAGCCGCTTGGTGCATCAGTTTTTTAGGTATGCAACCCACATTCACACATGTTCCTCCAAGACCTGCAACAACATTGAGAGATAAGTTTACATCCAGCTTCACAATCCTTTAAAGAAAACGGTCAATAATTATTACTGTGCTACGGAAGATCATAATCTAATGTAGCCAATACTGTTTTTACAAGTTTATTCTAAGACTCGTGGCATTTCTAAGCTCAGAGAGCCTTATGTATCAAACAGTGACACATCCTAAAATATAAGGAAAATGAGAGTACCACAATTTCCACACACTGCAAAGATTCAAAATTAACTGCTGGTAAGATGCCAGAAACTGAAATTTTACTTTGTGTACAATCCTACACTCGCCACCACATCTATGAATAGAACTAAATGGTAACAGGGTTGTTAAGCTGGCCATGGTTGGACTGTAATGGGTCTAGAACTACATATAAAATCTGGTGTATATGAACTTTTTTTTTTTTTTTTTTTTTTAAAGAAGGTGGTCGGGACGCCTGGGTGGCTCAGTCAGTTAAGCATCTGCCTTCAGCTCAGGTCATGATCTCAGGGTGCTGGGATCGAGTCCCACATCAGGCTCCCTGCTCAGCAGGGAGCCTGCTTCTCCCTCTGCCTGCCGCTCCCCCTGCTCGTGCTCGCTCTCTCTCTCTGACAAATAAATTAAAAATCTTAAAAAAAAAAAAAGAAGGTGGTCTACAGCTTTCGTGGATTCTCACGAAAGGATTCATGACAAAAACAAACAAACAAAAGGTTTAGAATCTCTGAGCTTAAAGAACATGGTGATAGACTGTCTCCATTAAAACAAAATGTAGGCAAGCAGGGAGGGAGACAAAATGGCTTAAGAGTGCAGGACGGCAGTGGACTTCACATAAGAGAATGCTTCCAGACTGCGACTATGGAGTATAAGCTCCACAGGCCAGAGCGGCTATGCCCAGCACAAGAATAGTGACTGATACCTAATAAGTATTTGCTGAATGGATAAATTAGAAATTCTGACACTCTCTTATCCAGAGTTCCTGCTTCTTGCTTCCTAATTAGAGTAGCTAAGTTATCTTGATAAGATTTACATATCACATCAATCCCCTTCTCAAAAACTTCCTACTATGCTTTAGTAAGATCCAATTCCTCATCTTGACCTACCAGGTCCTGTACAGACTGACACCTGCCTTCCTCTCCGTTCTTAGCTCCAGCTCATACCATCCGTGCTACAACCATATAGGACTCCTACCTGCCTCAGGGCCTTTGTATGTTCTATTCTGTGAGAGAAACTGAGAAAAGTCCCCTGGAAGGTTCTTCCTCAGCTTTTGGCATAGTTGGTTCATTCTTATTCTTCTGGCCTCATCTAAAGGACACCTCTTCAGAGGCCTTCTCTGATAATCTTCTCAAAGTTAAACTCGTTCTTCTACCCAGTTCCTCTCTATTCTACCATATAATTATTTTTAGTATCACTTATCATAATTCATAAAGTTCTTGCTTATCTTGGTCTCCCCACTAGCATATAAACTGCACAAGGGCAGGAACTTCATGTCTATCGAGTCCATTTCTATATTCTCCAATGCCCTTGCTCATAATAAGTGATAATTTAATTAATATTTGTGGAATAAATGAATAAGGAACATTTAATTCACCAAGACTCAGAAGCAGCATGGGCTATTCATTAAGATATCTAATTCCAGTTCTTGATGAATGTAGGAACTGGTTTTAAAACAGAAATCCACAGATAAGTGTTTAAACTTTCAGTTATTGAGCCCCTAAATTTAAAAGATAACTCAAATATTTAGCTTTAAATCATCATAACAGCTGTGGATAAAGTTTTGCATTATCTTGACTGCCAAAAAACCCTAAATTTTCAACATTTAACTGGAGTCCATTTTAACAGCCCAAAGTGAAAAAGGTAGATTTTTTTTAAATTTTTAATTGGGTTTTAGGAGCCATTTAAGCCAATGCCAGGGAAAAACCTGCTCTTACAAATTCACTTCTAAAATACTTTAAAGCTTACCCCATCTAGTTCCATGAGGGGTTGGAGTGACAAAATCCAGGACCATTACCTTCTTGTCATATCTGGCTGCCTCCTGGAAAATAAAAGTATTAAAATCAATTGGAAAGGTAAACATGACAGACTAGAAATGGGCTTTTAAAACTCCAAGCTATTCTTATTAAGCTACAGAAGCTATAGAAGTACTTTCATCAAGAAGATAGAGTTCAGGGGCGCCTGGGTGGCTCAGTCATTAAGCATCTGCCTTCGGCTCAGGTCATGATCCCAGGGTCCTGGGATGGAGCCCCGCATCGGGCTCCCTGCTCGGCGGGGGGCCTGCTTCTCCCTCTCCCACTCCCCCTGCTTGTGTTCCCTCTCTCTCTGTCTCTCTCTGTCAAATAAATAAAAAATAAAAAATAAAAATCTTAAAAAAAAAGATAGAGTTCAACTTGGAAAAATGATTTATAAAATAGTTCCTTTATAAACATGTCCCGCCCAAGTTAATGTGCAAAATGGCACAAGAGTGGCTCAAACAAATTCCAGGGAGAACCAGAAATCTGTCAGCAATGTGACTATTCTAGCCATCACCCAGATAACACACAGGGAGCCTTGCCTTGGCGGCTGCCAGTCCTCCTGAGCCCCCTCCAATGATGATGAGGTCATAGTCGTAGGCCTCAGGGAGATCCTCAGAGCCATTCATTTTTAGTAGCTTTTGAAGTCTGCCCTCCTGATAAGCCTAAAGAAAAACAATGGAAGGGGAAATAACGTCACTTAAAAACAGCAATGTCTGAAAAGTTTTGTGAGGAAACCTTTCTTTAAAGAAAAGCAAAAGGAATTTTCAAAGGAAAAATATTAATTTATATTACAGCACCCAAGTAGAAAATGTGTAACCCTCCTTTCAAGCGGTGAGCAACGATCTGCTTTTGTTAGGACTGTTCGAATTCCTTTTCACGTGATGGAGAGCTAATGCTGAGATGTTCCTGCAAACTTCTACATACGTTAGGGAGTGACATTCCAAAAAGATCAACCTAGTCCTAAATCAAGTATTATCATCAGTCCTTTTTTCCTAGAATTATTACACCAGGATTCAAACTAGGTTTTTAAAACACTTGTACTGTATGTTTTTAATAAAACTGTCAATTCCAGGGAAGCCTGGGTAGCTCTGTCGGTTAAGTGTCTGCCTTTGGCTCAGGTCATGATCCAAGGGTCCTGGCGTCAAGCCCACTGGGCTCCTTGGAGCCTGCTTCTCCCTCTGCCTGCCACTCCCACTGCTTGTGCACCCACGCTTGTGCTCTCTCTCTGACAAATAAATACATAAAATCTTAAAAAAAAAACAACTATCAATATGAGTCGGCAGCATCTTTATTTTCTATTGTCAAAGGTACTACAATGAGGGGCGCCTGGGTGGCTCAGTCAGTTAAGCATCTGCCTTTGGCTCAGGTCATGATCCCAGGGTCCTGGGATGGAGCCCCACATCAGGCTCCCTACTCCGCAGGAAACCTGCTTCTCCCTCTCCCACTCCCCCTGCTTGTGTTCTCTCACTGTGTCTCTGTCAAAAAAAAAAAAAAAAAAAAAAAGTACCACAATAAGCAGGCTAAGGTCTCCCGTTAAGACAGGGACCTGGTAAATAGCAACTCAAACAGATTAGCCAAATAAGACTTTTCTACATTACTTAGGTAAAAATTCAGAACAACATCATGAACTGACATTTCGCTGCATGAAAAGTGTAAAAGTCCCTGATTTTCGAAGGCATTTTAAATAAGCAAAGAAAAAAAGGAGGATGGAGCAGGCTAAATAAATAAACATGACTCTGTAAAGCTTATTTCTTTTTTTTAAGAACACAGTTTTTTTAACGACATATATATTTTTAGTTTTTTAAGTAATCTCTCCATCCAACCTGGGGCTCAAACTCATGACCCCGAGATGCTCTACTGACTGAGCCAGCCGGGCACCCCTCAAGCTTACTTCTTTCATCTACCTATGCACGAAGCCTCCTGTAAGTTTTTAGGATTTAGTTTCCATGTACTTGACACATAACAAGCTTTATAATATGAATATTATAGACTTTTAATTTTAAAAACCATTTCATTCCACTAGCTTTTATACCCATTTCATGTTAGCTTGGAAAACTATATTGGTGATATATTTAATATTACCTTTTATTAAAACAAAAATCTGTGCTAATGGGAGATAATGGTTGGAAACATTGTGAACAGGCACTAAAAAAGTTTTTGTAACAATCCAATTTTAATCTCAAGAGTCAAAAAGAGCCCCCAAACTTACCAGCCCCAACTGTACATTTCCCTCCGGCCCACCATCAGCTGTAGAGGTTGGAAGGCAGTTAGAGTCAGTAGAGCAGGATGCCTGGGATGTGGAAGGGGGTGCAGTGGAGGAAGGTGAAGGAGGAGGCATGGCACTGTGGCTGGCCCTTGGCAGCGTGGCTGGTGCACCTGACGGCTTGGGGACTGAAGGGAGAACACGTGGACACCAGCAACAGTGGGAACCAGACGGCATCACCCTGACCGTCTGTACGAAAGGTCTAATGTGAGAGGCTGGTAAACACAGCCAGTATTCACGAACTTGCATTATGGCAGAGGCTTCTCCTTCAACAGAAGGCACTGTGGGCGGGGGGGAACAATTTGGTAATAATAATAGCCATTCACTTATAAAGGATCAATATAAGCTTCAGATAACAAGCGTTACTCTCTAGTTGCTCTCAAAGAGCACAGGCTGACTTGCTGGCTTAAAAGGATTAACTAATAAATGCAACCAGATGTTCTTCTGGAAAAATAACATGACCATTTTTAATCTCAGCCTCAATTTTATCTGCAAGTACTTGACACAGACAGTGACAGAACACAGTCATTGGCTGCCTAAATGGAAACTACCCATTTCATAACCAATCCCCCAACATATCTACAAAAGAAAGAAAATGCACTGTCATGCTGAAAAGCCACATACTCCCTCCACCAATGTGTAATCTGTTCTGTACTGAAATTCTGGATCACACCGGATGCTTACAGTTCAAACTGGAAGTCAAATTGTATCAACCAGTGTACACATTTTACAAAGAAAGCTGAGTGAGCCTGAACACTTAACTCTATAAAGTAAAATCGGTAAGACACAGGCAACTAAAGCATTCCACTGACCCCAGGAACTAAACATGGTGTTTTAAAATTTTAATCCAACTTAAAACTGAAATTGCTGTCAATAAGGTCCAAGTTAAGTGGTTTCCCACCTGTAATACAAGATAGATAGTAAAAAACAGCTCCCCCAGGCAGGGTCAGGAAGGAGCATACAGATGGGTAAGGCGAGAAGGAGAAAAATGCCCCCTATTCTCCTCCAATTATGAGCACTAGAAATAGTGACCACCAACCATAGTAGCTGATAAAGAACAGGAGTTCTTAAACTTTTTAGCCTCAGGAGCCCTTTAAAACCTTAAATTATTTAGGACCCCAAAGAGCTTTGGTTAATGTGAGGTTTATTTATCAATTTTAGTAAATTAGAAATTAAAACTAAGAAAGAAATTTTAATATTAAAATATTTTGTTATTAAAATATTAAATACCTTAAGTATTACTGTTAAACATAACTTATTAACAATAATCTTTTAATTAGTGGGAAGAGTGGCATTGTATCTTTGTAATTCTCTTTAATGTCTGTCTTAATAGAAGACCGCTGCTATCTTTTCTGCATTTCAGTCTATTACAACCTGTCTGGAAAATTCTATGGTAGACTTGCGAAAAAATTATAATGAAAAAGCATCTTAGTACTATGGAAATAATTCTGACTTCAAGGCCTTCCTCTGGGGGCCTCAGGAGGCCCCCAGAGGAATGCAGACCACACTTTGAGAACCACTGCTGTAGGACTTAAGTGTAATTACACAACACCTCACACCTGCAGGTGTCTGCCAGCCTTACACACTGGATATTCTTCCATTTCTTCCATCTGCCTTTCAGGAACGCCTCTGCCCCACCCCACCCCTAGCGAAACACTGCTCCAGACTCACCTCTGAAAAGGCACAATACCAAAAATAATTCAAGTGTACGAGATTTCTTTAAAATTAGAATAATCTTTATGTTGCCCTCCCCCCTACAGGACTCCTATCTACTGAACACAGACATGCACTAGTTTTTTCCATTATACATTAGCTCAGGTGTTGAACTGACCTGGGCCAAATAAAATACTTGCTCTACCGCTCTCTAAGCTAGGTGACATGAGCTAATCACCTAATCCTTAGGAGTCAGCTTTCTCATTTTGTAAAATGAAGTTAACCTACCGTTTTACTTCACCAACCTGCAGGGTTTGAGTGAAATAATGCCTATCAGCACAGTGGCCAGTAGGAAAAAATCTCTTTAGGTTACTAACTCTCCCCTTCCTAAAGAAGGGAACCTGTGTGGTCAAAAAGCTCCTGCAGAGTTCAACAGATTCCCCTGCACCTCCCTGCACCATACCTCACCTGAAATGCCCTCTTCCCATCAAATCCTGATACAGTACATAAACCATGATGTTAAATTATTTTTATTCAATGTACACAAACACATCCCTTCCAAAGCATTCCTTTAGGGCTGGGGGCCCGGGGGGTTCTTTTATCAACATTCTAAGACTCCAACACAATGCCCATTTCTTCCATTAGGTCTCCCCTAAAGTTCCCGAACATTCTCCTTTTGTTCCTTGCCACTCCATTAACACATTATCATATCCTTACACGAAGCAGGCAGAGGGAGACTTCACCACAGTAGTAAATGGGAAGACAGACTTAAGAAGTTGCACTGGCAGCTGTGATAATGGAGGAATATAGGTGGCCTCCAAAAACTGAACCAGGCAAGAAAACAGATTCTCCCCTCAGAGCCTCAGTAGAACCAGCCCTGCTGACACCTTGATTTTAGCCCAGAGAAACAAATCTGAGACTTTCAACCTCTAGAGCTGTAAGATAGTACATTTCTGTTGTTTTAAGCCACTAAAAGTTTGGCAATTTGTTAGGGCAACAAAAGGACATCAATACACACTCTGAAATATAAATTCCACGAGAGATGGTCAATTTGCTGCCCACCACTTTTTCCCCGGTGCCTAGAGCAGTGTCTGGTACAGCAAGTACTCAAGCAATTGTTGAGTAAATTAAAAAGTGCCAATTCCAATCGCTTGCTAACGGAGACCCCCAAACAAAGGCAAAAGCATGAGGAAATCATATCCTGACTTAAAGTGCATGAACCATGACAGAGATGTCATCACTGAAGGAGATGGTAGCACAGAATTTCTGACCCTGAGAGTGAGGCACTAACATGCGCGCTCACAACGAGCCAGACGCTGTGCTAGATGCTTTATATATGTGATCCCATTTGATCCTCACAACAGTCTTCCCAGCAAATGTCACTGCCATCTCATAAATGAGGTCCTTAGAGACGAAGAAATTTGCCCAATGTGTCAAGAATCGAACCCAGGATTAAATGATTACAAAGCTCTTGCTTTTCTCACAATACCAAACCTAGTAACTCACATTTCAAAGAACAGTTGACCCTTGGAACATCATGGGTTTGAAACGCAGTCCACTTATACAAACTTTTTTTCAATAAATATGCTACTATAAATGTATTTTCTCTTATGATTTTTAAATTTTATTTATTGATTGAGAGAGTGCACTCGTAAGAGAGAACAGGGGACAGGCATAGGGAGAGGGAGAGAATCTCAAGCCAACTCAGCGCTGAGCGCATGCCTGACAAAGGGCTCAATCCCACAACCCTGAGATCATGACCTGAGCCAAAATCAAGAGTCAGACGCTTAACCAACCAAGCCACCCAGGCGCCCCATTCCTTATGATTTTAATATTTTTTCTCTAGCTTCCTTTATGGTAAGAATATAGTATATAATACATATACAAAATAGGTTTCAATTGACTCTTTATGTTCATGGTAAGGCTTCTGGTCAACAGCAGGCTATTACGTTTGGGGAGAGTCAAAAGTTATGCTGAATTTTTGACTGTGCAGCAGGAATGGTGTCCCTAACTCCCTGACTGTTCAAGAGTCAACTGTACTTGTCACATAGATTTTCTAATTTTATCCTTATTGTAAACCTAAGAGATGGGTATTATTCCCACTTAGCAAGTCAAAACCCAAAGGTTGACAGGTTCAATAACTTGCCCAAAGTCTCTAGGATGTTAGTAAGGATTTGATGCCAGGTGCTTTGATCAGAAAAGTGGTTCTGTTACACAATAAAGTTCTAGTTAAAAATTTTTCTGCAATATTCTTCTAAAATTCAATTGATTTTATTGAACCTGTGAAATTTAAGCCACTCTCATTATATTACTAGGAAAACAGTAGATCTGCAGGTTGGCTCATAACCTATCTCTGTAATTATCTATTGGTCAATTCTTTTTTCTTCAAAGTAAGCAGTCACTTTAATTTCAAAGTGATGAGGCAACTGAGGTGTCACAATAACTAGTAAAAATACAGACAAGTGGTCATGATTTATATGTTAAAAGCTATAACTTTAGGGCGCCTGGGTGGTTCAGTCAAATGTCTGCCTTTGGCTCAGGTCATGATCCCAGGGTCCTGGGATTGAGTCACACCATCGGGCTCCCTGCTCAGTGGGAAATCTGCTTCTCCCTCCCCCTCTGCCCCTCCTCCCCACTTGTTCTCTCACAAATAAATCTTTAAAAAAATTTTAAAAAGCTACAACTTTAGGGAAGGCCCCAGAAACTACCATCCCCCTAAACCTGTACATGCTTTATTAATGTTTTTAGTCAAGTCTCCAATACTCTCAGTAAAGAGACAGGCACTTAACAGAGCCATCTGGTGATGACTAAAAAAGGGAGGCAGGATCCTGTTGCTACTAAGAAATTATTTTCCTCTAATGGCAAATCTCTGGAAAACTCAGGAACTTGGCCGGGAAAGACAGGCTAAAGTGAGGATCAGCAAGACCAAATGATACTCCCATGACTGCTAAATAAATCAAAGGGTGGTAGACACCAGGAGGGTTAGCATTCCTTCACATGAAAATGGGGAAGGAATGGCTACTTCAGAAAACTGGACAACTTTCATGAGAAAGTTCTATTTTGGCTAAAAACCTCAACTATTATTACTGAAGAAACTTCCCCACCACATACATTAAGATTACTCCTGTCAATCTTGATGTCATTTATTTAGTCCTTGGACTTCCCTTCCCTGTACCACACTAGACTTAGGAAGGAAGTTTATTGTTACTTCTATGCAAAACAGATACTTATCCATTTGCCAAATCATGCCTAATGCCAAAATCTACTACTACCAAAGATTAAGTTCCTATAGGGATCAAGAAAAGCAGCCTACAGGCACCTGGCTGGCTGCACAGTCAACAGAGCATGCAACTCTTGATCTCTGGGTCCTGAGTTTGAGCCCCACATAGGGCATGGAGCCTATTTAAAAAAGAATAAGAAGAAAGAAAAGCAGTTTATTTAGGCATGCTCTACACCTTCAAAACTGTTTTCTTAAAGACCCAAATTTTTGGCATAACCTCAAAATAAGGTTGTAATTTATAACCTTAAAACATCTACAAGCAACAAAAAGAAAAAAAAAAGCTTTTATGGTTAAGTAAAGAACATTTAGGTTAAGTTAATTATATATCTCAGTATAAAGAGAGATCATTTCCAGGCATTAAAAGCCCGAATAAGAAACACAAAATTGAACTGGGAATATTCAAGGCTGTTACATAATGAAACAACTACTGATTCTCAAGGTCACTCTGTGCACTAGCAGAAATTACAAAAGTGTTTGGATACTAGAGGCTAGAGAAGAAATCAACCAACTAGATAAAGACTATAACTGGTTTTGTGTTTGAAATAATCTGACAAAAGTATCTTCTACCTCCAGGATACTAACAGATAAGGTAATTCAGTTTTTGCCCAGTTTAACATTCAAATGGAAGTTTTCAAAAAAAAAAAAAATCTCATGATTCTCTGGTGCCATAACTTCTCACAATTCCACGTATTTGGCCTCCATATTCCCCTGCCCAGAATCCCTTTCCTATCTTTGACCAAACCCTACTCAACCATTCAGCATGCACTTAATTGATGCCTCCCCTAACAAAAGTAGAACATCTCTACAGTAGATAAGTCTAATCACAGGAGAAATTATCTAGAATATGGATACCCACTCATTAATCTTACTTAGTCCTCCTTGCAATGAAGCCTGACATCTAAGTTTTTTTTACAGTATTAACACTGCTTATTCACTGCCCTACAGATAAAGTCTTTCTTGACCATTTTTTTCCCCCAATCTTCCCCCAACCTTGTCAGGAGCCCCATTTGTCAGGAGTCCCATATAGGTTCCCTGTAACAGAGAAAGCAATGCACTATCACAGAGCATCACAAAACTGATTTTTTGATAAATTATCAAATACCTCTTATGAAATTCAGAGCTGATTTTTATTGATAAAGTCTTAAAGGGCATTCAAAAAAATCTTCCTGCGACATGCCAGTGAATAATTTTTAATTACAGAAGATC